TTTTTTTTCTCCTTCTGACACACGTATCAGGTACATATTTACATATGCCTGTTTACACAGAAGGGATGTACCACAGCAAAATTCATAGAATTATGGCTATAGTCTACATTCAAATACATGTCAGAAGATATACATGTACCAGTACATGTACTAAGGTTTACATGTATACGTGTACATTTGTACACGTACTTCAAATTTGAGCAGTTTTAGGGCAAAACTACATACATCGTGTGCACATTTGTTCATATAGGTGGTCTTACATCAGGTTTTCCAGAAATTGGCAGTATGGCGTAGTTTGCCTGTGCTTATCACTTTAAGTTGTCAGATGCTGCATACTGAAAATGATAAGAGGTTACTCTGCAATAGCTTACTCATTAATCCTGCCAGCTAGCCCAGTTGGGCTCTATCCTGAAGAGATCTCTGGATAACAAGTCAAGCATGGCTGGGTGCTTTTGTTGGCTGTGATCACTAAGGCTGACACAATGTAAGATAAAGGTGGGGCTCAATCAGAGCAAACAAGAAGCCAAGATAAATGGAAGCCAAGGTACCAGCACATGTACATGGACATTGTGGTGTTAGCACAGTGCTCAAGTCATGCAGTCAGTCTAAAAAATAAAAATTAAAGACCCTGCAGTGAAGTGACTGCATGCCAAGCGAGAACCTTTGTTCATTACAGTCAAAAGTCCAGGATTTCCCCCTGGAAACACGTTGTGGAGTATGACATGACGTACGTGTATCTGACGGGGCTGCGGCAGGAGTTGACAGACCATGTGGTGGGGAACTTCTTGCGAATGACGTCACTGAGAAAAAAAGTGCCTGAACCGGGTGACAGTGACAAAGAGTGCATTCTCATGAGTTATTCCATGGCACCCATTGGTAAGTTCATCGAGGATACCATGCAGATGCACATCCGACGTCCACTCGAAATATGTCCAGGTCTTTATTCCTCTGTACAAGTCTGGCAACATTGTATGCACGTCCAAAACTTTGAAAAACACATTAACTTAGATTAGAACTATCGTGCTGAACTTCCTTTAAAAAGCAAAAGAACTGAGACTATCATATAAGTAGAGAGATCTCTGTTCAGACCATTTTTTTTTTATCACAACATTTTGACACCTTACATGTATCATCAATCTTTTGATATTCCTCTTCTGTTGCGTAAAGTTTTCAGACATTGCAAATACTGCAAACGACAGCCTAAAATAAAGGTGGGGTCTTTGAGGAAATGGTACTAGACTGCTTTTGCAACATGCAGGGCTTAACTGTGCCTTTGTGTACATGTACAGTACGGTGTGCATGTACATGTACTTGTACATAACTTGGTGTAGTACCTACATGTAATTTATATAATGGGTTTTGCCCTTACCCAAGGTATATATTGATAATCACTGTATGCTCAGTGCTTGTCCGAGAGCTTGCGAAAAAATTCACAAGCTTACTCGGGTGGGACTCGAACTCACAACCGCCTGCTTACTAGTGCAGACATCTTAACCACCCGGCCACTGAGCTTACCGTTATATAAATCTCCCCAATGCAAACATCTTGAAAATTGCACAGTACCTTCTGAAAAGTAGTACATGTTCATACCCTGGGTACTACTGGTACCTTTCCCCTTGCATGATTACATCACAACACACAACGCTGTCCAAATTCCCTGTGCCTCACAAACAATTTTTTATCACCTTGTGGATTTACACACTGCCAAAAGTTTGTGACCTCAAGGATGACATGCATGGACAGTCCCAAGCTAGCACAGGAACTTGCTTCCCAAAGGGAAATAAAGAACACGACTCCATGTACATGTAGTTGAGTTCCTGTGTGGGGGTGTGACAATATCTGTGCAGTTGCTGTACGATAGTGTTGTCAACTGGCGTGTCAATATGGGCAGTGTCCGTGTACATGTACATGTACTTTCTACCATTGGCTTCAGCTGTTGTGTGTTGTTCTGCTTAAGTTGAATACTTTGGATGATGTGTTAATTACATGTTTAACATATATAATGTATCATCTGCATTTCTGTGCATTTCTACCGGTACTTGCAGTTTGAATGTACATGTACATACCGTGTGGTACAGACAGCACGTCCACTTGTTGTCTACAAGTACACTGTATGTGACCTTGGAACTGCACAGTGCTATACTGTGTGCATTACTGAGTGTTTAGTTGTAAAGCACCACATGTTCATGCTGAGTTGTAACTCCTAAAGAAAACATGTTAAAGGGCAAGAACACTGAGGAGGATAAGAAACCATTAGCAGATGAAGCGCTTGGTAAGTATATTCGGTTCCTACATGTACATGTATCATCGTGGTATCTCTATTATCGCAGTATCAGAAATTTGAATATTAAGTTACTAATAAGCTCACAATCAGCAATATTCACCCAGGTACATGTAATTATGTAACCTAGGGCCTGAAGATTAGTTTTATAAACAACAAAAGCAAAAATGTTGTAACTTTACTTATGTTTTGATAATTTTTAATAACGGTACATAGTAAATTTTTCTCCACCATCTCTGTCATTACCTACTGTTTGTCAAGACTTTTAAGTTATTTCTAACACCGCCCTGCCCATGGGTATCCATTGCTGGGTTGCCATATGTCACTGCTGCAATGGCCAAAGGTGTCTAAAGACACTTTTTAACTGCGAAAGTGCCCAGTGTTTTTGGAGTCAAAATGAGGACTTCTACCGGTACCCTGAAAACTGCTTGCTCGCATAAAGTGCGCCCTCAGTCTCCATTATGATAGATTTGTACCAATCATACTTTTACCCTTCGGGGCAGTTAGATGTTAATAGATATGTTGGCATTATTGTCTCAAGTTTGTCGTATTTCTGATGCAACTTTAAAAGACTTTCAAGTGATATTTAGAATTTCTAAGATGAAACATAAATAAAATAGTTCAGGCCCAATGAGATGGTCATAACACTTGTGGAATTTGAGCTCAGAAAGTAGACATTTAAGGATTGTTTCAGACATTGATAAAAGAATGGGGCCCCAAGAGATAAAAACCTGCGATACACACATATTATTCCATCTGCAAACACCAAGTTAAGTAATAAAATGAATGTCAAAGTTGTTGCTGCATTTAGGATTGAGGTACTAGGTAAAAAAAATTCAGGAAGTTAGTCTTTGTCTGATTATTTAGTGTAAGGTGACACAGTGGAATTACATGTATCAGCACTGTCGCTCTCTCGGCGAAGGACATACAAGCATTCAAGCAAAAGACTGAAAAATGAAATCAACTACAAATAAAATGGAACATTTATCACCAAGTGAGGCTACCTTATTTCCTTTGAAAACAATCCATTCTTTTCTCTTTATTCATTAGCAAAGTGCTTTAAAGGCCTTGTCAGATTAATAAGTGTAAGATGACACAGTGCAATGATTTCTACTCTCGGCAAAGGACATCTTTTAAGCAGAATACCGGAAAATGGAGTCAGTTACATGGAAAGTGGAACATTTATCACAAGGGGAGGCTGTTTCATTTGTTTCTGTCTATACACCTGTAGATCTTTATTTTTTCATTGAAATTAAGCAAAGTGCATGAGAGGCCTTCTTAGCAACCGTTTCTCGATATCCTGATAATAGAGACTCGACCTTCATTTGCATACGTTGTGCCTAGAAAGGTGCTGAGCCATTGTAGAGGAAAACAAATTCAACCACAAACAAAATCTTCAAAATGAAGGTGAAAAGTACCTTTAAGAATTAAACGACAGCAAGGACAGGATAATTCAAAAAGGTGAACGAGCAATATTTATTTGGATCAGGAAATGCATACAATCCTAAGGTATATAAACAGGTCAGCAGTTGAGTAATGGAAGTTACATGTGCATGTTATTGTCCTATACACGTGCATGTATGTCTATGCGATGAAGGAAGTGGAAGGTTTTCATGCGTGTAACTGACTGTTGGTTTTGTTCTTCTCATAGTCTGAGCAATAAGCCTTTTGTGAGTTAAATTTGAATAAAATCTGGCACACTGTGTAATCTTTTTGCACATTAATATATGCAGTACATGTACATGTAACAATTTGAATTCCTCAGACTAAAGACACTGTCGTACCTCGTGATTCGGGGCAGGCCTTTGCATAGCAACCACCATCTCTGGAATGGACTGGTTCCTTTGTGCCCTTTTTATCCATGGAAAACAGTGTATTGTTGCAAGGGGTGTGTCTTGTGTACCGTAACTGTGCAAAAGCTTGTCATGAGGTATAGCAACAGTGTCTTTAGTATGGAGAATACAAATTGTTATGTTCACAAATTTAAAGAACTCAGTGGACCAGATTCTACTCAAATGTAACCCTCAAAAGGCTTATTGTGCCCTTGTACCCGGTAGATACAATATGTGTTTTTTTATATACACATTATATCAGGTTGTCATTATTAAAGGGTTGCATAGGGGGTGTGGCTGCACATCATTGAGCACAATAATAAATTGCAGCACGTGACTTATGGTGTAACAAACTCTGAAGGGTTAGGCTCTACTGATCAGTGACAAACAGTCAAATTTGCTGACCAGTCAGCCGGGGCGAGAGGCCAGCCAGCATTCTCTGTCTTCACGTTTATATTGTACACCAACACGATATATGCTGCTCCTAGTCCTCTACATCAAAGCATGCACTGAGTACCGGTACACGCACCTGTCATCTGCCCTTGTACAATTAGCTTTTGCATGGAGAGGACACATTTCAATCATTACAATGTCATCTTCTAAATACCTGGACATGTACCAGGGTCGAACAATACATGAAAGTTGTTAATCTCATTATGTCTTCATAAAAATTAAGTTCCAGTAATGTACAGTCGTCAGTTTGTCTGATACACATTTACAGTGTACCCACACATGTATTGCTGACTGATTGCTTGAGGGGTGCCTAGTCTCCTCCTCCCCCTCCCCCCGAAGATGGGTACCCCGTCCTGTCCAGATGCAGAATACACATGCTGTATACAGGTATCTAAATCCACAATGGTCAATATCTGGTCTGTCCTATTTTGCAGGGCTGGAGGCCTATGGTGATGGTCGATCCCCAACTAATGGCACAGCACCAGAGAACATAGAACTATCTGAGAGCAATAAAGAGGACGAGCCGCTCACTGACGAAAGAGTAAGTTGCAGTAATATAGGCTACCATTTACATGGACCCTGAGAACGACGTTGTCAATAGCGGCAAAGTGCCCTTGAACTTGTACATTGTAAGCTCACTGTGAGGAAAGGATGTGAATGGTATGTACAGTATACATTTGATTGAAAAAAGTAGAGCATTGTATTCTTCATGTGTCCGTGTCTTTGTGTTTCTTTGTGTCAAGTTGCTAGTTTACAGACAATTGTAAATTTCAGAGACTGATAGTTCACTTGAGAGGGAAAAACTTTATTGCTGGACAAACATATTAAGACCTCTTTGATCATGTAATCTGAATCAAATGACAAAACAAACAGCCCTGCCAACATTTTGTTGAATTGCTTAGCTGAGGTTTTTTTTTTGTCTTGGGTGCAGAAAAGATACATATGGCATGTTCTTCATAAAATGGACCAGAATGCAACTCCAGATGTAATTTTTCAAACCTTCTAAAAGAGAGACTGTGATCATGTAAAAAACAAATTAGCACCTTCAGATTTCTAAAAATGATTATTTTTTTATAATTAGGCATGATGTGTACATTTGGTGGACATTACCGGGTAGGTTGGCTACCAGTGCAAATCAAATGGAGTTGAATTTGTTTGAATTTTTATGTCAAAGTGTTTACTCCAGAGGATTTCAAAACTTCTTTCAGTAACAAGGAGAATTCAGTATATTTTTCAACTGATGTATTTTAAAGCACCTAAGAAATACATGTAACTTTAATTAAGAAAATATAAGCCATGAAAAAATCACAAAATTGACGGAAAATGATGAGAAAAGTTTGGTTCTCTTCATTCTCTTACCAGTTTATAATCACTCTCACTATACCAGCATATCTGCCAGGTCTTATACCTTTCAACCAATAATTAAAAAATAATCTTTAAGTTTGGCTGCATCAAAAGTGTATAATGAGTACAATATGTTCGTTGTGTATGTCAAATTTGACAGAATTTTGATGACATTCGAGAATTTTGGCAAAAAATGCAAGACATTCGAGAATGCCGAAAAGTGCTTGAAAATTCCATTCGTGATGTTCCTTTTGTTGTTTATTTTGGAGATATACCCGCTGAAAATTAAATTAAAATTATTAACTCAGCGCATTAGATTTTCATCATGAATCGTATTTTGTGTCTCGGGTGTCATTTTTTTTTTAACGTCATGTAGTGCGACCGATGTCTTTCAAGAAATCCTGGTCCGAAGAGAAAATCCCGCAGCATCGCCATTCCGTGGAGAGGGCTCATGAATATCGAATGAAAAAGAGGGTGCACTATCTGGGTTGATGTCAAAGGTCAAACAGTCCAAAATGCAGCAAAATGTTTCTCTAACAGCACCGCGAGATAATGACAGAAGCTGCAAAATCGCCACGATCGGTATTTTGGACTGTGGTTTACAGAAACGTTTTTGAAGAAAATGTGATCGGTCCAGTCGTAAATGATGATGATTTGGGGGTGCTTTTTTGCACTTTTTTTTAAAGCTTGTGTTGTACATCGATTTTGATTTTATTCACTGTTTTTGCAGTTGGTTTTTGGACACTAATGACAGAATCAAATAAAGTTTGCGACTGCCAACTTCGGGACCCGATTAATTGTGATAGGTATTTTTTAAATTCATGAGTATGGTTTCAATATGTGTAAATATTATCACCTTTCATCACATATACATGTAAATCTGTGTGAAACAACCACAGGGATTATCACTCCTCAATAAATTTTATTGGCTGGGATTTCAACCGGTTGTTCACATCCGTCACAAATGCTGACGTTTGAGACTTTGATTAATTAACTCCAATTAAGTTGAAAGATGGACACAGTCATCATTGTTCCACATATCAGCCATGACTTCCCTTATTACATCAGACATTGGGAATTAATTCACTGCCGTTCTCTTCAGGAAAAATGAACCCCCAAAGTTGAACATTATCTAATAGTCCATATTTTGAGGAACCTGCCCTATAGTTCTTGCTTTTTTCTGGTAAATCTGGCTCATCTTCTGTTTTGGTCGTACCTCTCAAAACTAATGTTCTCATTCTCCCCAAACCCTTCTAAAGCAACCTAAGAAGGAAGAGAAGAAAGATGGGGCGGACCTGTACTTCCATGATGGCCACCGTCGCATCGACTACATCCTGGCCTACAGGAGGGGCGACTCGGACAAGGATGCCAGGAGGGCAAACAAGCGCAAGGAGTTTGAGAAGAACCTTCTGGAAGAGGGCCTCCAGATTGAAATCGAGGAACCTCAGGTAACAAAAGAAAAAAAGTAATAAACCCAGAGACAAAAAGAGTTGACCGTGAATAGTTAGAGCAATAGAGATGTCCCATGTAAAGTTGGGGTTGGAATTCTGGGCAAATTGGAAATGCCTCTCTGTGATTTCTTTTGCATACCAACATCGGAGCTGAGTTTCCATCCTTAGGTGTGCAGTCTAGTACCCACAGGACTGAGATGTACTAATTCTGTGGGAAAAAACATAAACACTCTGGGGGGAAAAAAATCGAAAAACTCTGAGGGAAAAAAAAGACTAAACCCCAGAGGCAAATATAAAACATTTGTTGTGGTGCGATTCCTCTGCAAACTGCCCAAAGGTCTGTTGAATGAAAACCAACCTGTTAAGTTATTCTGGAAGCTCTTTTAATGTCATGCATGTATATATGAAAGAAAGATCCCAATCACTTTCGGCTCTTGAATCTTGTTATAGATCAAATTTCTTCTGTTTCGCCTTCCGAGACTAAATCACAGGTTGGAGATGAAAATTGTCATCACCACAGTCGAAAAGAGAGGAAAAAAAGCAAAGATACTGAATGGAAATAACGCATGTAAATTCACTGTTGTTACATTTGAACCTCCGTGAAATAACACTGCATGGTCATGCAACACTGAAGCTGTTGAAAATATTCTTGGTTTGCTGTGTTGCTACTTTTGTGGATGACCCAGGCAAGTCCCAGTCTGACCGTAGTTTCCTGTCTGGCCTTTTTAATCTGTTTTGAGCATTGTTCTACCCTATAACCACAAATATTTCAATTTGTTATTAGTACATAACAGTAGATGGAATACAGTAAACTTGATTACTATACTCCATAAATATTCATGAGCAAATGGAAGTGGGTCAGTGGCCAATTTCGCCACTCAGGTGACATCATCCCAGTGATTGCCCATCTTGCTGCCGGTGCCGTGGTTTTTTTTTCTGGTAGCACCAAATATTCCCTCTGGAACCGGTCTCCTAGAAATGTACTCTGTGACATGCAATCTTTAACGAAACCCATCTGTTGCGGAGCTTGGCAGTCATGTGGAACTCTTGGCTCAGAGAGAACTTGCATGTTTTTTCTTGAATTTGGTTTTTGTCAGTTTGCTCATAAATAATTTTGTGAGGTGTAGTAAAAGAAATATAGCCTGGTTTATTTGTGGATCGTAGTGGGAATTAGTGATCCCTTGGTGTACATGTAAGTCAGCTAGACTACGTCCCTTCGCTTTGCTTTGGGAGGTATTCAAGCTGTCCTTCACTTTGGGACCAGTAATTCCCACTACATGCACATTGTATACTTCCCCTCAAACCATGCTGTGTTTGTATAATACATATACATGTTTATGAAAGTACTTCAAAATTCACTTCATTTAGGTTTCAAAATTTCACAAAAGAACCACATGTAATGGATCTTTATGAAAGCATTTCATAAAATTGCTTGGTCACTGAATGAAAAAGACCAAGCTGCATTGTAGTTACCGGTGGTGAACACTATAGATTCAGAAAGTGTTCACTGTGTCTTACCTACAGGGTTTCTATGTACAGTTCTGCTCGTAGAACTCCCGTCTGATAAGACCTATTACTGTGTCAGCACCAAAGATCGTATAGCGCCAAAGGCGCAAGATGGATAACTCTGTCCAAAAGATGTAATTACCATGGGCGCCGTTGGAGCAAGCGATACGCCTGGGCAGTTTACTTGCTTTGGCGCAGGCTCACAAGGTGCACGTGCCTGCCGCGGCGCCTGGGCCTGTGCATTAATGTGCATTGCGCAGGCGTATCGCTTGCTCAAATGGCGCCCACGCGATCAGAACGTTTTACGTGTATTCACGGTGAAGTTCGCCATCTTGCGCCGTTTTGCGGTGCTATACGATCTTTGGTCAGCACCACGTTTGTTCACATATATTCAAACCTACATGTATGCGCATGCCGTGTAGTAAGTTACCGGTACATCACCAAATTGGTTGAATTTATCATGTAATTTAAGCGCGCACACATGACCACTTTTCTACAAGCATAGTGCCATCACTGTAATTGCTTTTACCAGTGATGCTGGTAGCGGAATGAGTCTACCAGTATAAATGTAATTCTCTGAACAAGTCGGAATGTAATCGTGCATATTTATCCCCAACACATACATGTAGTTAAAACCCTAACCCCCTAGGGACCATTGAAATCCTGCATAACCTTGTTGGGTTCAGCATGGTTAGAGTCACGCTTTGAAATTAAATCCACGCACATATTGCGCACAGCACTCCAGCACTGGGTCATGATTTACCTGTACATGTTACACAATGGAAAGTTCGGCTTACCGGTATTTTCAACTTGTGTTGTCATATTTGTGCTGGTAATATTTGTGGTGAGATTTCAAGGCCACTGGTACAGTAATTAAAATCAGAGTAGGGATAATTGCAATGTACTGTATGTCAACCTAAAAACATAATTAAAACCTTAGAATTTACATGTTAGATATAAATGTGCCATTGAAACTTACCAGTGGAGGATCCTACATGTTCAGTGTGTACATTCATTCCTGTTATCTGGTGCACTCGCATCATAATTTTTTTCTCAAGGGCAGTGTTGTCTTGCGTGAATGTATACACATGGGCTTGTCGCATAACAGGATATTCCTTTTTGTTTTCATTGTCGTTGAGGGAAGCTCAAAATAAATCAGAATTTTTGTTGTTAATTTACCGCTGTTAATTAATTTTTCATTATATGGTTAGGGGAATATACATTTACAGGTAAAAGGAAAACAAGGCCACTGATTTCAAAACAAAGAAGTGACATATTCGGAAAACAAATTTTGCCCCTGGAGCGTGACCATTGCACAGTGTGGGCATTAGTACTTGCACTTGTTTGTGCTATGCACATACATGTATGTACAGTAGCCATACAACATGTACATGTACATGTCTGTGCACAGTTTACAGTTTATGTGCACACATGATGTTGTCCAACAACCCTCCCTTTTAGCATTCAAGTAATTTGCAGTTATGTAATAACACGCAAGTGGTAGGGTTTTTACAGTTGTTGAGGATGCTACATGTACAGTGTACCTGTACATTGTATATATAACATAATGCTTTCCCTTGTACACGTATATTTCATCCATTCCATGGCATCTTCATTGTGTAATCCCATTGTTTACAAAATGTACAGAATGTATGTAGCCTGTAAACATAAGGGTGATTTTATTTGCAAGTCATTAATTGTGCATGGCCTGTTCATGAAATAACCATGCTTAACAAACACTGAAGCTAAGCACATATGCCCCCTGACCGGGAATTTTAATTTGAGACTGGCTGGGTGGTGGGTTGTACCCGCCTAATTTTTTTGTGCCAAGCACGGCTTGTTCACTGGGCCTCTCATGTCTTTTAGTCTAACTGTGAAATTTTTGTATGAAAGTTGGAAGTGCCTGGTGATACAGTAGTGACCGGTCACTGAGAAAGATTGTCAGAAATCACAGTTCAGAGTTGCTCCCTGTGTTCAACATTTATGAATATTAGTTTTTCCAAGACGGTATGCCTTTTTTTTTTCCTTTTTCCTTCCAAGCTGGCTGTATTCGTCTCAGTAGTGAACTTCACTCTCTCCAACTGATGCATTTTTTCTTACACAAGTCTGTCTTTTTGCCCATAAAGTTTTGATTCTACTTTTGAGTGTTTTGCCATTCATTTTGCATTCTTTTCCCACCCCCGGCTCAAGAGTTTGCATGCTGCTTTTTCATGTCTTGAGTTTTCTTCCTTTTCAGCGGGTTTTCCCCACCTTTGCATTAATCCTTCCTCCTTGCATGCTATCTGTTGTTGGCTTCCTTCTCTCTCTCTCTTGCTCTCTTCTCTTCTCAACAACTGATCATCTCTCTGCTTCGCCCACTTCCATCCCATGAACCATCAGCCCCGTCATGATCTGGACGTAAGTATTTCGGAGGTAATGGGAGAGTGTCCAGTTCTGAACTGTTTGCAAGCAATTTCTCAAGACGAGTGATTCCTGAGTTGTTTAAAGTAAGCTTAAAAAAATCAGTGGCCGTGAAACTTGTGGGCAAACTTATTACAATAAAACCTCAAACTGTTGGAAATTTGCTCCTAAAAGTGAAACTTGGCACTTTTTCTTTGAAAGTAAATTATTCTTTTTGAAATTGGTACTTGTACTGTTTGTCACAGATGTACATGTACCAGACCGGTACACATTGTAATACAACCTCTCTGAAATTTGATTTAATCAAAGAAACTTTAAAAACATTCAAGAGGCTGAGAATGGTTCAGAATTGGATGCTGTCGCATTGATGTACCAATAAATGTTCGTTGTGTAATGTACCAGTTTTTGTTACATACTCTTTACATAACCTTTGTGGTTTTTACTGTGAATCGTTACCAAATCATTAATTTGTTACTAATTCTAAAACACGTTTACTTGGCTGCTCAGCTAAGATAAACATTTGTGTACAGTGTATTGCTCTTGATTTGATTCAAACAAGTACAGTGTAGTATTCATGAAAAGAAGGAACTGGTATTTAGATGTTCTTGTGTTTACTGCTTGCAACCGTCTTACTTGTCTGAGTCATGAGATATTCAGTTGTACTTTCTTTTTGGGATAATTCGTACTGTCAGTCGTGAGTGACATTAATGCACAGTCATTACCCACTGCACATTGTCATATTCATGTGTGTGTGTGTCCTCCTGGCAATGAGGCAAATAATGGAAAAAAGGGATGTTGTTGTGGGTTTGAAGCAGGGACTGGTGTCTTATATTTCAGACAGCCAGGCACCTACCCGATCCTAGTTCTGGGGGAGGGGGGATGTTTACCGGTAACTGCATGGATCTTCTTTTGAAATTCTGACTTTTTGAGGGATCTTGCGTGAATCAATAAATCCATGACTGAGACTGCGTAGGTACTTTTGGGACATCTAGATCTCACCTCAACTTCAATTTGTCAGAAAAGTGTCCTCTATGTTGGTCCGAAATCAGGAACTTTGAAAGTAGCAGATACAAGCGGCGGAAGCTTCAATCATGCATTGGCTATGGCATACACCGGGTGAAAGATCCCAGCCTGGACAGTGCTCATGTTTGGGGACTTCAGTTCTCTAAACGGTGACCCATAGGTATGGGATCAGCCCATGGTTGACAGATATTCTTTGGCAGGTTTTTGCTGAGTTATATACATGTCCTTGACAGGTTGCCAAGTTGGCTTACAGGCATAGGAGAGTGCTACATTGATCACAGTTAGATGGTCTAAACTTTACCCAGTGACCTTTCCTGAAATGTACATGTACCAATATTTAGTTTCAGCTTGGTGACGATGCACTTCCATTTCCTGTACTTTACTTACTTCTGCATGCAGGAGTTGTAACAAAATGAAAACAAACTCTGTTTCAATGTTTACTTGTGCATGGACATACATGTACATGCACAAGTACCCACTGCACTTTAGTTGTAAGTGCAGCACTGGTGCCGTCATGTTTTAGCTTTCTTTTCTTTTTTTTTCTGTTGGTATCTTGCATGTACAGAACTCACGGAGTTCTACTTTGTACCAACCGTTACAAATGCAGTCATGCATAGTACCACAAAGGCATTTTTTCCTTGATTCTGTAGATATGGATTGAAAGGTGATATGCCTATGGTGATATGCATACATGTACTAGTACATGAATTGAGCAATACTTTCCTATTGATGAAGCACGCAGGAGAACGTGGGCGTTGTGAAACTTCAGCCCGTAAAAACGCCCACTCCCAAGCAAAGAGATGAGCATCGAAATTGCTGTACGTGTGAATATGCCAAATGCAGTCATGTAAGCAGAATCGTTTAGGCGCAAGGCACATGATCGCACAAGTACTCCCACACCCAGTGCCCGACATCGAGAGCTGTCAGTGGGTGTTTGGGGACAGGAAGCTTTGAGTCATTCACTGATTCAGAATTGCTGACCTTGTCCAAGTCCAACAATGGTTTACGTGTACTTGTGGGTGTCCTCAGTTTGTCAGTGGCTGTTTGTGCCAGCCATGTCTTCCCCTGCACCTGTTAACACAATAAACTGGGCTTTCCTGTTCACTGGGCACCAGGCATTTTAACCCCGACTGTTAACCTTTTTTTTAAAGCCGAAGCACGTGTACAGTATACTGCATCCATCTTATAGAAACACGTGTCCACTGAGCTAGCCAGTAGCCTATGCTGAACCAGAGGAAATAAAAATAAAGAATATGTCTGATACTGTCCCGGTACCTAAAAGTTTATTATTTATTTAAAGTACGCACATGTAGCTTTAATGGAGAGGATAAAGATTAAAGCTGCACAAAGGGGATACTAAATGTACCAGTACAAAGCTCCTTTATGTGTTACATGTACAGTACATGTTTAGTGAGTTAGTGTGTTGTATAAACCTAACTGGTGCAGGTTGAACTTGACTTTCTTGTGGTCCGTGAATTTATTTTCACTAGTCTCTGACATGTACATGTATTCTTTTCTTTATTTTCAAGCTTTTGCAGGATGTCTTGATCTGAGTGATCTTACGTGTATATTTCCTGCTTTTACAATGTTCGGGTAACTTTGAAAAAACACACACCCTTGACGATTTGAATGAATCCACAGTTATAATACATGTCCATTGTATTTACACTATTTCAGTGGAGTTTTCACAATATAGAGGCTCTTTGAGATCGCTTTTAAAAGGGTAAAAGTATTTTATGTGCAAGAAGATGATCGACAAATTTATGAAAGTAACACACTTGTATGAGTTGCCCAGACTTCATCCATGAGGCGTGAATGTTGTCTTTTTGCACACGATTCATGTATGTGGAAATGACACCATTATGTCAGGAATCTTCCACATACACTGTAACTGAGAAACTAACTTTTACTAACTATACTTGAAACGGAACTAAAACCCAATACTCGTACTTTACGGTATGTGTGGCTATTGTAAGTTGGAAGTTGGTGTTTTGCTCTTTTCAGGGGGAGAAGGGGATGCTCAGGAGAGTGTTGTTTGTCTCGTTTAACCATTTCTTTTAACTGTTTGCATCCATTGAATTGTCTTACTAAAGAAGATCTTACTAAGGTCTGACTTTACTGTGGACATTTGTTTGACTGGCAGGCATCCTCCGATGGCAACACCGTCTTTGTCAAGATCCATGCTCCATGGAAATTCCTCTCTCGACAGGCAGAAATGCTCAAAGTCAAGATGCCTATCAAGGTAAGATAATGTGTTCGTAAAACCAATTCAATTTTTTTTTCTGACAGTATTTTGAGTAAACTAAGATTTCAAAATAAAGAATGTTGCAAAAGTTCACAAACACACTAGTTGCAGCTGGTAGTCACTGGTCTTGTGTTAAAAGTATGCCGTTTTTTCATCCTTTGAACCTGGACAGTTTAGATGTATGTCAGAAAGGAACCATATAGTTTTTTTAACCAGGTTTTGCTTGTTTTACCATAGATCAATGACATGGAGGAGCCCCTGTCTATTATGAGCTGTCTGAAGAAGATCCCTACACCCTTTGACCTTTCAGAGGAGTTCATCAAACCGGAGCCCAATTACTTCACGGCCCCCTTTGTGCGGGACCGTGTGGAAGAGTGAGTAGCTTCATATTGTCATCCTCAATGTGGGTTTTTCCCAGACATCAGTCATTTGCACCTTCTGAAATGGGAGTACACCGTCCTGTGCTTACCCGTATGTTAGTGAATATTTCCATGCAGGGACGTTTTTATGCCAATATTGCAGATTCGCTTTGCATATATGTCGTTCCAGAAATCAGTACGCACACATGAGGTCTGCCCTATCTAGGCAGCCGTTTACCAACTTACATGCACAGAACATGTTTTAATTGGTGCAATATCACAATCACATGCTTTGTTTTAGAATAACTTTGCTTTTTCTTACAACTGAAGTGACTCATTGCAGAGTTAACAGCATTTCTGTTCAGAATCTTCCTGAATCTGCTCAATCCAATCCTCTGCAGTATTAACAACAGAAATCCTCTTTAACAAATTTGACATTCAAGCCCCATATAAAGTATTCAGTTCTTTCTATCGAATTTTTCTTAAGGATAGTGAGCTAAGTTTAGGAGTTTGGGTTTTGTCCTGTTTAACAGTTTCAAAAATGCCTGAATGAACAATTTACTCGGGTTATTTTTGTGTTCTTTTTACATTCATGTGTAGTTTCATCATTGAAGACAAAGACACATTCTTCAGCATGTCACAGAGAAACAGGATGGTGAGTCTCTGCCCAGATAAATTATATCTCAGACAATTTGCAGCATGGCACTTGCCCCCCACAGAGTCAAGAAGCAGTAAATTATCAATCCAACTTGATCTGGGTCAACCACTCAATGCTGAAAACTGTCTGACCACAGACACATTGTCTTTTCAAGAGATTCTGGGGCGTCAACTTGTTTTTTTGGCTGATACATGTCTGACTTTTCATGTGTTGCACTTGCATTCATTTACAAAACTTATCAGTGATTTTTTTTTTTGGCGGAAACCAATACCATTCTTTTGATATGAAATATTTGTGTGGAAAAAGGTGCAATGAATGGTGTAAAAGAGGATAGTTTAAATTTGAACCATTTTAGGGGCGAAAGGAAAGGGCCTGTTAAAAATGTTGGGGATTGGGGACATTTATTTCGTTGTTGCACTTTGTGTGGAATCGACAAATGTTTGCTGATATAATTAATTCATAGATGACAAAATAGATTGGTGACCCTCCGTTTGTTTCTGTTGATAGGTTTTTGAAGTCCTAGAAAAATGCCGGTATGACCCAGACAACAAGACAAAGTTTGGTGAGTCCTGGATTTCATAAGGAGAAATTGACCCCATACAGAATAGGTGCCCTACAACAAGAACAACTTGGTCATTAAAATCTGTTTACTCACATCTTTCACCATAAAAATGTATTACTGTCACATGTATCGAGTATTATTACTTTCACATCAAGTCCTGGTAGTTCCTGGTTGTGTTTTGTAGTCGGCAGAACTGTAAATACATGCAGTTCTTGTGTGTCTGGTATCAATCAACAGGCATTGAACACATGATCGCCAATGGCTCTTACCTGGCTGCATACCCACTGCATGAAGGACACTACAAGAGCAACCACTCGATGTTGACGCATGGCCCCTCGAACGACCGCCATGTAAGGCATCCTATAAGACGCTTAAATTTGTTAAACACATGTAAGTGCCATGGTGTGTGACTGGCACCTGCATGTAGGTGCAGTGCAACTGGCACCTGCATGTAGGGACAGTGACTGGCACCTACATGTAGGGGCAGTGTGACTGGCACCTGCATGTAGATGCAGTGTGATTGGCGCCTGCATGTAGGGGCAGTGTGACTGGCACCACCATGTAGGGGCAGTGTGACTGGCACCACCATGTAGGGGCAGTGTGACAGGCACCTGCATTTAGGGCAATGTGACTGGCACTTGAATGGATAGATGCAATGTGACTGGCACCTGCATGTAGGTGCAGTGTGACTGGCACCTGCATGTAGGGACAGTGACTGGCACCTACATGTAGGGGCAGTGTGACTGGCACCTGCATGTAGATGCAGTGTGATTGGCGCCTGCATGTAGGGGCAGTGTGACTGGCACCACCATGTAGGGGCAGTGTGACAGGCACCTGCATGTAGGGCAATGTGACTGGCACTTGCATGTAGATGCAATGTGACTGGCACTTGCATGTAGGTGCAGTGTGACTGGCACCTGCATGTAGGTGCAGTGTGACTGGCTCCACCATATACATGTAGGTGATATGCTCCTGGCACCTATGTGTTGATTTTATGTGACTGACACTTGTGTATATGCAGTGTGACAGGCACCTGCATTGGTACCTGTGTGTCAATGTTTTGAGTTTGTGTACATTCGGATGAAAAATAGTCACATAAATCATCATTCATGAATACTACTTAAGTGGTAACTTGGGCACAATCTACCACTCTTACTTGAAATCCACAAGCATAGTTGTTGAAAAATTTATAATTTTTGAAGCCTTGAAGAACATCATTTAGACGACACGGGTGTGCATTGTCCTTTTTGATAAACATTCTTCGTCCCCCGAGTCATTGATCAAAGTGTTATTTTTTTACTACAAATTTCAGTTGTTGTATGAGGAGTGGGCCCGCCCAGGCCGTTGGTACAAGAAACAGCCGCTCAATCTCATCAGGTATCGTTACGTTCACCTGCTCTTATTAAACGTGTTGTTAGAGAACTTAACAAACTGTCACAGAGCATCACAGTATGATGAGGTAGACTGCATCCGCATTGATTCTCCCATGGTTGGCAATCGTAATCACAGTATTGGAGCCGCCATCTTAGAGGCTATTTCCCAACAACATGTATTTATTCAAGTGTTGTTACCATTTGGATTCATGCCATCTGCTTTTGCCAGTTTTTTGTGTTTTTTTTTAGCTATTCCTTCCCTCGTAATGTCACACTTGTTGTTTGTCTTGTTTCTCATCAAGCCCAGATCTTCTCAGTAATTCCCTCACCTTCCCCCAGCTCAAACCCTCATCCTATCCCCTCACCCCAACCAGCCTCCAAACCCAACCCAACTTCCTACCCCCATACCACATAATTCTCATTTAGTATATAATAGTTTGTTTTAAAAAGGTATATTTATACCGTGTTTTATTCCAATTATAGTGTGTTATGTTTTTGTTAGTGCCTGTTTGATCTGGTATTTTATGTGTCTTTTTTAAAATTCCAATACCTGTCGTTGGCAGTTCTTCCATCGTTGAAAGTGGTTAAAAAATTAATAAATCAACACATTTCTGACCCCAGCCTTATTCTTTGGGCACAGTGTGGGTTAAGTTTGACGAGGGTGTACAAAACGCACATCCATCGATGTTCTGAGAGTCATGTAAGCCACCTAGGATCATTTGCACTGAACTAAACAGAAGCAAGAACCTACCAAAATGTTCAAGAAATGAGTTGGCTGCAATCTAAGTGAAGACTCCAGTCACCGTGTGCAGCAATCCGCACAAATGAATGGGATTTGGATGTGATGGTTGATTTGGCCGAGACTTGCAGTGCTGTACAAATGATTACCTTGCCTCTAAAAGGGAGCTTGAAAGTGACCGAATGTACCAGTATGTAATTGTTCAATGGACATTCTTCTTATTAACGGTTGAATGAATGACCACATCAGCTCAAAAGAAACAAATCAGGGAACATCATTCATGGGTTTTGTGCTTTGGCTTTGCAGCGACTACTTTGGAGAGAAGATTGGTTTGTACTTTGCCTGGTTGGGCTTCTACACTGAGATGCTGACATACGCAGCCATTGTGGGCCTGATTGTATTCATATACGGCTGCATCTCCCTCCCTTCCGACACAGTGGTGTAAGTGTAACCCAATCCCAGTAGGATACCTTCAGTGTGAGAGCGTTCCACTCAAGCGCATTCCTGGCATTTTGGCAAATCACAGTGTCTTATTGGTCAAAGAGGCATTTTAACAAGTGCGTTCCACCTGCATCCAGTTACACTGTATGTTGCCACTCCAGTCATGGCATCTAATGCTGGTTGCTGAGTGAGTCAATACAAAGAAGTAACTCCCTGTTGCAGGACCAGAGGGACCACTGTGCCTTGCCACTGTATCACTTAATGACCAATATCTGTAGGTAAATTTGCATTGTGGGCCATACCTGTGTTTTTGTCCCTTTGAAATATTTTATTTCTATTCGCCATACATGTAGACCCGGTTTGACCTAGTGCATAGCACTGTTGCGTTGGTCTGAATTCATACAGGTCAGAACACTACAGTATGGCATGTGGCCCATTTTCATTCTAAAATGTGGTCCCGTTTTGATACCAAATTTCCCACTTCAGAGGGTGAACCCCACCTGGTGTACATTACCCACACATTTTAAACACTCCATGTACACCCCAAAGATTTCAAGCTAAAAGAACGCCAAAGTCACTGCATGTATATGTCTTACGGTTCTGGCAAAGACTCGTGAAAACTTGTTAACGAGGGCATCTTGACTGTTGACCGGGGCAGGAATGAGATCTGCGCAGCCAGCGACTGGAGTGTTTACCTCATGTGTCCCCAGTGCAACAGGCGGTGCACCTACTGGCTCCTGGACTCCAGCTGTTTCTACTCCCAGCTTACGTATCTCTTCGACAACGCCTCCACCATCTTCTTTGCGGCGTTCATGTCACTGTGGGGTCAGTATAGCAAGCAGTTGTTTTCCCATGTACACGTGCAGTCGCACTTAACTCGACTCATGAAGTGGCCCTTTGTCCTGCAAAGTGGATTTGCCAGTGACACTAACTCATGCCAGGCAAACTGAAATGACTCTGTTGAAAACTATGTGCATGTCACTTGAAATGTAATTGTTATCTTTATCACAAGGCTAATGAACATGTCAGCGGTTTGTACATGTAGCTGAGATATGTGTGTGTATTGCTTGAGGTTTAAAAACAGAGCAGTTTTCATAATTGTTCCTTTTAATTTTTATTGTTTAATTTTTATAGTTGCCTCCTTGAGCATATTGTCTGTGCTGTTTATTGCCCGTTCTTCATTGAATTTTGTGCCTGCAGTACCGTGCACACAATGCGGTCGATTCACAGTAGCGCGCCTCCAAGAGTTTGCAAGGCGATTGATCAGTCACAGTGCGTGAAATCGGTCCACCATATCCAAACGCGCATTGGGTCGACTGATTGTGTGCCCTGTGATGGGTCAACGCATCGCAAACTCTTGGAGGTGCACTTTTGTGAATTGCCCGTATTGCATTTACAAGCCCCGTGAATGAATGTCCCTAATTATTCACGTACAAGAATTCAAGAAGGCACTAAAAAAACCTGTAAAATGTGCAACGTTGTTTCTGCCTCTGTAAATGAATTCTGTTCAAAAGTGTCTTTACAAATAATCGCCAATTTTTTTTTCTTGTCAAAGTGCACTTTGAAAAGATTACTTTTCGTGGCGGCACTTCTGGTACTGCTCTCCTTCATGAATTTTTCTGGTTTTATATCTGTTTCTCCGTAAATTTCATTGTTTCAAGTCTTGAAGGGTGTGTGCTGATAAGTTCTTGTGTTTCTGTTTGTTTGCAGCCACTATGTTCTGTGAGTTCTGGAAGCGTCGTCAAAATGAGCTGGACTACGACTGGGACCTCTTCGGTTTTGAAGAGCATGAGGTGACCAACTCTTGATACACTCACACTCCCTTGTATATGCCATTGAGCATATATAATTGAGCATTTTATGGGTGTGGATGCAGTGTTCACCACTGACATAATATGGTGGTTTGTGGCTGTATTCCAAGCCAGTGTTCATTTCAGACTTGGCTGAAATGAAGCCATGTGGTACAGATACCTTCCTTTATGAGTGGCATCCTAACTGGAGGCCTGTCTCGCATGGCGATCTTGCAAGCCTCTAAGCTTCTGAGATTTCACTGGCCGCATTTTGCCGTGGAGCTGGTCTTGTCAACTAACAAAACCCTTAAAATTAAGAGTAATAGTTGAACCCCGTTAAATTACGAAGTCTGGCAGGTTTGTCTCAAACCTTAGAAACTAGAAAGTGCAGGCTGATTTCCTATTCTTGTTAGGAGGGGGTTGTTCTTCATTTACATCTCTGTGTGTAATTTTCCCCAAACGACCCAATGAAGTGTGTCTTTTTATTTTTTAATTTTTTTCTCTTTATGATACGTCCGACTTACTTTTTCTTTTCTTTTTTTTTTTAGGAAAACTGTCGTCCTGAGTTTGAAGCTCTTGCCCCAGATAAGAGAGTCAATCCAATCACCAAGGTATGTTGAATGTTGCGATTTGCCCAAAACAAGCATCTGTTCATTTTGACAAGAAAATAGAGGGAGTGTGGCTCAGTAGCTACTGAAAACCTCCACAAGGAGAAAAAATGTTCACATTTTTGGAAAGGGATGTGCAGTCCTGCTCCCTAAACCTTCAAGTTGGTACCCTCCCAAAGAAAGAAGCATTTCAAGGAGATATCATATTACCCTCACTGTTTTAGCAAACCTGGCCGAAAATTGGCCCGCCCTTGAGTCTGTCTTGCTTCTCACGGAGCACAATCCTGCCACACTGGTACATCCCTAGGTAGCTTGCCAGTGAAATGTCTTGAGTACAAAGAGGGAGGCAGAGAAGCTGAAAACTGGTCGTAGTGATTGTCAAAGTGTCGTAGATTGATCTCATTGCGGGCACATGAAGCAAAATAATGACTGAAGAAATTCTGAAAATTGTTCAGTGCTGAATTGCTGAAAGAAGATGCTTGGTAGCTTCTTTGCCATTCTTCACGATGTGAAAGTTCAGTGGCAAAATGTCACAATAATTTGGGTTCTATTTGAAAATCAATTCATTGAGGAGGATGCTTGGATTAGTTGTAGAAGTACAGTCAAACTGAGATGAGAAAAGTACATTTTATTGAGAATTGATATGCAAGAAGTGTTGACAAAAGTGAAGTGTATTTTGATTTGTAAACAGTGCGGAAATAAACTGTTTTGAATTGAAAACCTCTCTACAGATGGGTATTGCTGGACAACTTCGAAATATTACCAAGATATCTACAGTGCCATTTTGACATGTAAAGAAGTTACCTGACTCAGTGATGCAAAATGAATTTGTTTGTTCTTGGTTTGTCATTTCACACGACTGAATTGTTTGTGTTTTAGGAGGTCAACAAGAGTACATGTACATCCATATCAGTGGAGGTCCGTGGCTGAGCTGCTCTGTGTTATGATTTATCAAGTCATTTCTCCGGTTTTCCCTTGCATTCTTTAGACCCATTTTTTTTTTAAACATTGATCTGATTGTCAAATTGCGTGATGCCACATTCTAGAGTTACAGTGCGAGATGGAAGGCTTCCTGGTGTCATCCTACCTTTGCAGTGACGGCCAAATGGCAGTAGGTTATTGTCGGCATTCAACTCGCGCAGTGCGTGTCCAGAGTTGCACTTTGAATTTTAATGCCATTGATCAGAGCAGAGCAGGGGTTGTTTAAAATCGTATTGGACCAGGTTGCAGAAGTGCACCCCCAGGAGCGCAGAAGCAAGACATTGGGCCAACTATTGCATGCCATTGATGGTAATTGCCTGGTCTGGTGATTCTGGTGACGACAGTGAGAGATAGGCAACTTTGCCTGTTTGTTACATTCAGTCTATGTCAACTGGTTCATGAACAGATTTTCTGGCATTTAATGGTTTTATTTATTGCTTTTCTGTTTTTTCCTGTTGTGGGATGATTTTTCTCTCTTTTTTCTAGCTCACTGAACCTTATGCAAAGTTTTACCGCCGATTTCCAAGATTCACAATGTCTGCCCTTTCGATAGCCTTCATGGTGAGACAAACCAACCCAGTCTGGATGGATACGTAGGCGTTTGTGTGTTAACACTTCACTAACCACTCCTCCCTCCCTCCCTTTATTACTAAGTAGGAAACAAACTGTGTTTCTTGACTTTTTAACCTCTCGTCCAAGCCCACTTGAAAATGTAACCTCTTCGATTTCAGTTGCCCGAGCCGTATGTGAATTTGGTCCACCGTTTCCCACGTTTCATGACCTCGGTCTGGACAATCGCGTTCATGGTGAGACACGCCGAACGAGAAGTATAGGTGGTGAAATTAACTAACAGCGTATCTTTTTTCTGTACACCGCAAATCATTTTTCGACCTCATGTTGTTAAATCCACCTGCTGGGCGCCAGACTTCGGAGCCTTACGTCAAGCTACGCCGTCGCTTTCCACGTATCTCTGCATCTATACTGTCTATAGTGTTCATGGTGAGAGTAGCTTCGTGCATTAACTGAAAAACAAAATGAGCAGAGGCCGGATGGTAGATTGCGGATAGTGGCAGGAAAGGATTTCTCTGGCAGACAGTAGTAGAGGGAGAAATGGGCAGAAAGTTATACTGTAAGATTTGATGCACCGGGCAATTGGGTTCAGATATCACCAGCTTCAAAAGAGATCGATTTAATCAAGCAGTGGCCATGATGAACGAGTAAATCATCTGCTTGATTTGGCACACCCAATCAAATTAACTTTTGAAGTTGAAAAATAGCTATATGCTAATCGAAAGAAAAATTATCACTTTCAGTGGTTGGCATTTAACCAGCCTCCATATAATATGAAACACAGTTGAACCAAACTACTTGAACATTAAAAACTGGATCTAAAACTTCCAGTTTTTTGTTCAAGTAGTTTTGCTCACTGATTGAATGTTTTGAGGAAGTCTTGATGTAAAAGACGCATCTACACTTCCTTGCTCTGTGCTTTTTGCAAATGCACACTCGAAACATTTCTGGATCATGCGCTCGTAATGCCAGACAGTTTATGCTGTTTCAGAGATCTCCTTTTTCATGTCACAATACCCTGCCTTTTTGTTTTGGTTTTAAATTCCTGAATGACACTACTCCCAGAATGCTTGCATAATCGTTTGAGATTTTCTTCCGCCTCACATGGCTGATACTTTGCGATGCTGCTGGCTTTGCTTCTTAAAGTACAAGTTTCTTTTGTGATTACCGATAATTTTGCTGATTGCAAGGGCCCTTCGCTTGCTCTCTCTTGAAGCAGTGTTAACCTTTAACCTTTTACTTAGGATTCTGGCACTCTGCCCCTATGCCTGGGCACATGTTGGGTGTATTGTAAAATGTTTGATTGCACATTTTGTGGTTGTCATGTAGGCTGAGAAGCATTTTGAGAAATGTGTTTTTCTTGCTAGATTTATTACACTGTAAAAACCACAACAAGGGAAGCAGGAATTGTTAAAAAAAAAGTTAATTAATGCATCAGTGTCTGTGTTGCATTATCTTCCTTATGGTCAAATACCTCCTGCTAAAATGCTCTGTCTCTCCGAGATACTTTCAATATTGATAGGTGGCTCCAAAACCAAGGAGGCTTCCTTGCCAAACGATCCAGCGGCTTTTACATGACAATCACAGATACAGCATGTTTATTGCTCAACAGCCCTACTAACACGATTAACCCGTGGAACCGTCTTGCACTTGTCTCTCTTTCAGTGTTGCCTGTGACAACTCCTGGATGCCGGTTTTATGTTTGGTTTTATTTTTTACTGTCAAACCTGTGCATTGTGGCCTCTTCGACCATCGACGGACATTCCCATTAATTGGCACATATATTCCTTAGGAGATGCAAAAGAAACACATTGTGGTGGAGAAACTGGATGGTTATTGTCACTGTTCTTCAGTACGTTTGGTATCGTCACATTTTTACAATGTTTTGCCACAACCGTCACAGTCTACAACGATAAAGACAGGAGGCCGAGGTTTGACAGTGACAGTTTTTTATTTGTTTCCTGCTTTAGAATGTGACTTCTATCCTTCTAACCTTTTCTTATTTAACCCTGGCACCTCCCCCCACTTCCTCTACCTGCAACTCCTCCCCCTACTCCTCTGCATGCTCCGTGAACTGTGTTAACTGTGGACTTTGTTAGGAGGAAGAACCTTATGTCACATTCAAAACTCGCTTCCCAAGATTCATGGCTGGTGCTGGTTTTGTTCTCTTCTTTGTAAGTTGGAATTTTCTTTTGACCTCTTGGCCTCTTTGTAACTCTGTGATTATTTTTTGGGAAGAGGACTGAAAAATATCTTTGAAAATTTAATTAAGGTCGCAGAGCAGGGAAAGCACATTTCAGAGGGCCTTACATGTTACGTGTGCTTTTCATCAAACTTCAAAAAAAAACTCAGAAAGCTCAGACAGTTCAAAGGTGTAAGGAAAAAAAAGGAAATTTGGGGTTTTTGACAAAGAAAAATGAAATTCAATCGATAATTTTTTGTGTGTCTCCATATTTGTGTAAAGAAATTTGTATGTGCACATTACACTTGATTACGGCGCATGATGTCAGGTGCACTTGTAAATGTTTATGTTGAAATGAAATTTGATCAATTTTCCAGAATCACATTGGCTATAATCAAAAGGGCTCTTGTGAAAATCAGAGAAAAAGATGGTTATGAGCCTGTGTCTGCCTTTATCACAGCCTATGCCATGAATAAGTTCTAAAAGCAAGATTTCTGAGAGAAACTTACATTTGTGACCTGTGCTGACAAAAAGAGCTGAAAGTTGGAATTTTCAAAACCTGAAATACTGGAATTTTTTTATTCAGAAAGAGAGCTTTCCAATGTTATGTACATACATGGGACACGAAGGATAAAAGTATAAGGTGACATTGTGACATTATTCTGCCTACTTTGCGTCTTTGTTCCCGACATTGTTTCAACAATTCAGACCAGGCATGAATACTATACTATTGTTGTCTTTGCTGAGAAAATGTCACTTTTAAATATGTGATTCTGTGATATATTTGGAATTAAATAGGAGATGGGTCACTCTTTCCAAATATAAAAAAAGCCAAAAATTGACCTCCACTTCAATGTGACTTTGAGCCCTCAAAATAGGAAAAAGTGGGATGCAACCTTACTCTCATTTTGTCGTGACAGGTCACATTTGTTTATAGATTTGATGGAAAACTGTCAATTATCACTGAACAATCATCTCAGAGTTTCATTTTCCTATTTGTGTGCTTTGCTTTCTGGACCCTCATTGATACTAACTGCAAGCTGACTGCTCATTACTGGAAGACTAACTCTCTAATGTTATGGCCAAGCGTGGCCATTTAATAAAACATTCCTGTTTTTAATCTCTGTAAATTTGGGAGAAGCCATTGATGTTAAACTCATTTTTTTTAAATGGTTAGCTATGGATGAAATAAATTTAAATCTAAATCAAGGAAAAAGTGAGAAAAACCATGTAAAATATATTCTTAAGTTTGAGGAAGCTGTATGAAAGTGCCTGAAAACGGGGACTTTTCAGTGAAGCATATGAACCCTATTGAAAGAAATGTGGCTGTTTGTAATGAGTTGGTTATACTTTATTGAATAGCATTTATAAAATTATCCGATTTTCAAATTATTTTTGAGGTTTTTTCAATGAATTAACCTGCATGTTAGCCCCATCTTTTTATGGGGGAGGGTCTTCCAAGGAACTCCTAACCTGACAGAAAGGCACAGTTTAAAGCCAGTTTTTTCATCGGGGGGATATGAAAGTAAAGCAGATTTGACATGAAATGTTTCCAGTGAAATTCACTTTACCATGCTGCAGCGAGGCTCTTCATTCTCCCGATGCCAATAGGTTATACCTGCTTTTTTCCCCCTGGGGTAACCTCAGATATTCCTGGTACTGGCTGCAGTGGTGGGCATCATTGTCTACCGTATCGCAATCAAGGCGGCGGTGGCAGCATCTGGTGCCGCCTTCATCAGCTCCCAGGCATCCCTCATCACCTCCATCACCGCCTCCTGTATCAGCTTGTTGGTCATCATGGTCCTGCAGAACGTAAGGAACACTGAAAAAACACACACCCCCTCAAAAAAAAAAACCCCACAGCAAAGGGGGCTTGTCGTGTCAGCATTATTTTCCCAGTGATTACAAGTTCACTTTTAACGTTAACACCAAAAAACGTTTCTTTACACACTTGAATCAGAATGCAAGCTGTAGTTTTCATGAAACAATCAAGCACTCCGCACTCTTACGAAGTTGGCATTCTTTTGTGCAGACAAAAATTGATGGAACAAAGTTAACTTGTCAGTTTTGACATAAAATACACATTGTTTGTTGCTTGCTAAATTCCTCCTAAATTTGTCAATGGCTTTTGTAGGATTGGAAGAGGTTGGGGCCTTGGCTGCATGAGTTCATCCAGGGAATATTTTAAGGCGTACGCTTTGTGTGTCTTCTAGAAATGAAAGCTGCGTCATGAATTAAGTTGTGTCTTTTGTTTTTGGTTTCATCCAGCTCTATGACAAGATCGCAACTTGGCTGACTGATCTGGGTAATTATCGTTAGACATGCACGTTGTGCTAGGGCTGCTGCAGTTTGTCTTAGATACCGTTGCAAGTACCTTGGCCTAGTTTGGTTGGAGCCTGTGTCCATGTGTTTTTTTTCTTTTCAAACCGCATGTTGAACATAGTCTTCTTTAAGACCCATTACACATAAGGCATTCCATCTTCATATAGACCCTGGTATCTTTAATGTATACCTGTATAGAGCCCAGTATCTGTTGCGAAGAACCTGTGTAGAGCCCGGTATATTTTGTATAGAACCTGTATAGAGCCTGGAATATTTTGTATAGAACCTGTATAGAGCCCGGTATATTTTGTATTGAACCTGTATAGCTTGGTATCTTTTATTCAGAACCTATATAGAGCCTGGCATCTTTCATATTGAACATTTAATGAGCCAGGCATTTCTGGCCTGCTTGGTTCATATTACAAGGTTATCTGTTCCGTAGTATAAAAATGTTGGCAAATGTTAACAGCAGGAAGCCTCCTCACTGTCTGTTCAAAGTACCTACACAGTGTTACCAAAGTAGATTCGCGGCTACAGCCCTCTCAGGCAAGTTTACAGCTCTACTCAGTGCGAAAGAAAATGTCTGCGCTTACAGCAGCAGAAAATTGTGCACTGATATTGCACTTCACAGGTTAGCGAGGTACTTGTACTTTGTGTATTAATTGCAAACCCCACAACTTTTATTTGGTGTGTGCATGGTTAGGGCAGAATTTTTGTGTTATTGCTGTAAGCACGGAATGTTGAGGGTAAGGATGGAATTCCCACAGTTGACTGTCATGATGTTTGGCCCTGCTTACCAGAGTAGAGCCAGACCTTGCCAGATTGAACAGTCCACATGGAAAGTACTCCAGCAAGGAGTTTTGTAGCCAGTTACGACATTTTTACCGAGTTTTTGGTATTTATATTAAATAAGTGCGTGGCAAAGTGTCAGACTTGTTAATAATTTCAAGACGGGCTTTTCGGGGTCCGTATGTATATTTCAGAGCTGCACCGCACCGAGACGGAATATGAGGACAGCTACACCTTCAAAATGTACTTCTTTGCCTTTGTCAACTACTACTCATCCTCGTTCTATGTGGCCTTCTTCAAGGGAAGGTAAGCGGAGGCTCGGCACTGTAAAAGGAAGGGTTTTAGTGGATGCAAGAATTATCTAGGAGGGTGTAAAAAAAAATCCCTCCTCCTCCCCAAAAAAGTGTCCCAAAATAGGGAAATCGGTGCCGTGTTAGAGTCCATCACAAGTCCCTGCAAGTCCATCTCAAGTCATTCAGTCTTGAGCCAATTCTCAAGCTACTCAAATGAGTTGTGACAAAAGCATGCTTTCGTCGTTCACCCAGTTACTTACGACTGGCCCTGTGAAGGGCCTTGTGAAAGGACTTGTGATGGAGTCAAACACACTACGGAGGGGAATATTAGAAACATAAATAGATATGTACACCTGTTGTACTACTTGCGCAAATGTATCTAGATTTCTCTAGCCAAATAATTCTCTTTGATGCATATTCAGTTTTTTGTCCCTGCATTCTTCTTTTGTTGTTACATGCGTTGTAAATCGATGCACATTGTGTATCTGCACTTCTCAGCTTTCCAGGCAATCCCAGTGATTATGGCAAGATCTTTGGCATGCGTCAAGAGGAGGTGAGCACTTCGAGGGCTCTTTATGAATGACTAAATGAGAATGTAGAGACCATCTCGAGACCAGATGCAAGACCAGTCACAAGAGCAGTCACCGGGTGAACAGTGACAAAGGAAGGTTTTTGGTGTGCTTTATTTGAAAAGCTTGCAACTTGAATTCCGACAGGAGGCCTTAAGGTGGACTTGTGACGGTCTTAAGGGGTCTTGTGGTGGTCCTAAGGGGTTTGATTACGACAGTGTGAGTGAGGGTGCTACACATGGAAACTTGGGCAGGTTTCAGACTTGTTTGAATTGTGTGGAGTTTTTGTCGTTTAGTAATTTTACAGTAACCCTGATACATCAGCATTCTGTGGCTTTTTAACGCAAGGTCCGGTTTGATTGATATTGCCTTCAACGTATCCACTTTTATTTCATTTCATTAATTTCTGCAGGTAAAAGTTACAAACATGCATGTACAGAAATTGACAAGAAAAACAATTAAGCAACACCGCTGTAGAATTCCAAAAAGCCAACTAACTTACTGTCAAGTTGCTCTCCTTGGTGCCACTTAAACCACTCAGAAACAAATACAGCAGGAATGGGAGCAAATAGATGAAATGATAAAAGGAATGGTAAACAAAATGGTTATTTAAATCAGTTAAGAATTGCAGTGTCTGAATACTGAACTGATTGAATTGATTTGATTGATAATTGAATTGATTTCAATCAATAGTGTGACCCAGCCGGTTGTCTCCAGGAACTGTTTGTCAACTTGGCCATTGTCATGTGCGGCAAACAGTTTTTCAACAACTTCATGGAAATTGTCCTCCCGTAAGTAACATCCCCCCACTTCAAAAAAATCTTCCATTTGAGAATTCAGCACACCTTGAAGTTTTCATGCATGCGTGCATCTTTGGACAGTGGGTATAACTGGCAGTTCATATCGAAACAGACATGAGATTCTTGAGAGTGCAATGAATGGCAAATCCACGGAAAGTCAGATGATTTCTCCGTAGTGAATATTATTTCTGTCCCAAGGGGTCATCATAACAGAGTAATGTAAATCAGATAACTTACGCTTGCACTCAACTTCTCTCTCATGTAGTCTACTCAAGAATTTCTGGCGTTCCCGCTCCGGCCGCAAGGAGCAGAAAGAAGGCAAGGGTTCTTATGACCAGTGGGAGAAGGACTTTGACCTGACAGAGCTGGGGCCTCGCGGCTTGTTCAAGGAGTACCTGGAGATGGGTGAGTACCGGGTAGCCCGATGGACCTTGGAGAGGTTGCCAGTTGCTATAATCTGTTTGTTTATTCTACTGTGCAGGAGTGCAGTGGAACATTTTCGTACCTAAACTTTAATGAGGCTGCCAGGTGCATTGAACCTAACAAATGTGCTTGTCTTTCCTCTGTCCTGCCAAATCATTCAAACCTGTGGCTAGATTATGAATAATTTTGTAGGGTTAGGGTTGGAGACAAATAAGGAAATTTTCCAGTCGTTTCGTTTTCATTCCAGTGACTCCAAAAAGCTCCAAAGACACAAACTACACATTGTTAGAGTCCTTATGTTATCAGAAAGGTGCAGTAAATATGTTTGCATTTTGATCTTGCACCTCTCTCTTGAAGCACCTTTAAAAAACCTCCGTGTACAAGATTTTGACGTGAAATTAGCAGTCTTGATGAGGATTTATTCAGTGTTTGTTGTCTCACATCTCCCCTTCCCCAGCTGTCCAATTTGGTTTCGTCACCATCTTTGTCGCTGCATTCCCGCTGGCTCCGTTCTTTGCCCTGATCAACAACCTCATGGAGATCCGCCTGGACGCCTACAAGTTTGTCACTCAGCTGCGCCGCCCCTACGCCGCCCGGGCTCAGGACATCGGTGAGTCATTCCTATCCCATACCCAGGGAGGCCCCACTCCCTCACTATGAGTCAAGGGCATGCCGGTGCCATCTCTGGCAAGCCAACATCAGTGCTGTGTCGGGCTCGGTTATGCAGTGGATGCCATCTAGGTTGAAGAGTGACTTTAGGGATGCTTTTTTGTACCTGTCCATATGAACCTGTGGTGGCTTGACCTGCAACTGGATGGTTTGGGACGGATGTGATCACCTTGCAGTGACTTGTACATGTGTAATTGACGCGACTACAGCACTGTTTGAATTAATTGCACACCACCCAAGCTGGCAATTTCCTGTACCCTCTGTGCACACTGTGGCACATTTCGTCATAAAAGCATGTGTACCAGTTACAGTGAGCAATCCACACGTTGGTGTCTCACGAGCACTTGCCTGAAGTCCCTGCTATATCCCCCCTTTGTTCAGATCAGGAACCAATCAAGGACAGATGCACAGGGAAGTCTGATGATCTTCATCTCTATCAAAACACAAAATAAAGACAAACCTTGGCAAAAGAGGGCTGTGTGTTTTTAACCTTCTATAACGTGCCGCAAATTACGGCCCATTGAGTAGTCTTGGGAGCGAACATTTATAGCTCCTAAGTGAAATGCATGGACATCAGAAATACTTAGGTAAAGCTGCCAAATCATGGTCATAATGTTTCACTTTCAAGATATTACACCCTATGTGCAATTGTGGCCTCTAAAGGAATTTTTACGAAAGTACCAGAAGTGCATGGCTTTCAGCTTAAATCAGTTTCTTCATGTCTCCCCTTTACCCGACAAAACAATGTGTCATTTTTTTGTCTTGGCTGTTCTTTGCACGTTCACGCATGTTAAAAAAAACAGCACGATCAGGAACTCTACGAATGATTTCATTTGATCCAAATTGGTCTCATTTTTCAGGTGCGTGGTACGCTATTCTTCTTGCTGTCGGCAACTTTGCTGTCCTGACCAACGTGAGTGACTAGTTTCTGTATTATGCTGTGAAAGAAGGAAAAAAAACCAGAGAAAATTTGGTATGAGATTGGCCAATCGCCGGTCTCCATGGCTCGTGCTCAAATTTTGCCACCATTAGTGTTACAGATACTGTGCACCTGTAGGTCTCAGTGGGTACGTCATGTCACCCATTGTCTCGATACCGTCCACATTCAAAGAAATCCCAACACTCCATCCAATGACCTCCATTTGATCCTTGGGGGTTGGACCCGTTCTTCCCAAAATAATGTCCCCATTTACCTTTACAGCAACCCTTGAGTTGCAGAATGAAAATCTGCCGGGAGTTCCATGTGCAGATTTGTGTCGGGCCGCTCGCACGTCTAACTAAATCCACGCTACCCATCTCTGTTTCCACAGGCCTGCATCGTAGCGTTCACCTCGTCGTTCATCCCCCGTGAGGTCTATAAGTATGAGTATGGCACCCTGGTGGGCTACGTAAACTGGACACTCTCCAACTTCAACACTAGCCACTTCGAAATTGAAGCTCATCCCCGCAATAATTCTTACCCTGAAGGCTCGGGTCTCACTGGTAACGTCACATTTTGCAAGTGCGTATAAAGCACTTTTTTTTTTCTTTATCTTTCAGGCCTGATTCAGTGCAGTCTGATTCCAAGTCTCCGGCCATATTCATAGAGGCCTTCTGAAAGCAGAAATGATTGATTGGCACATTTGTGTGCTGAGCTGAGAAGAAACAAGCACATTTTGTACAAAGCTTCTTCGGCTAGGGGTGTGGGCAGGGTTTCTTGTCATTTTTGAAGGTGGAACCAGGACTCTCTGCGCATTGTGCTGTGTTCATAACTGTGCATCTTGCCATTCATCTGAGTGCAGGTACCAGACCCCGCCTTCAGAAATTCTACGATATATATGTGCATTTATTGTGTGTTTTGCGGCAATCGTTGGCAGGTATCGTGGCTTTGTGGAAGGGCCTAACCCTCCTTTCGACCTGAAACTGGAGTACTGGAAGGTCTTTGCCATGCGGCTGGTCCTTGTCCTGATCTATGAGGTAACAAATCATTTGGAAACAGTTTCCTGTGCACTTCATCTACTTCACTCATGAGAACCTCCTCAAATATGATAATTAGAGAGCTTGGAAGAGGGGACACGCTCAGCGCATGTTCCCCCACCAGGGGCCATGCAAAGACATCAAGTTGCACAAATACCGTGCGCCTCAGTAGACGTCTGCAAACAAGCCTACAGTCCAGTTTTACTATGCTACTAAGGATAGGGCAGTGAGATTGTTTGCACCTTCGTTTGCTTTTTTCAATTTTGTTGTTGCATAGTATTTTCATGATTTTAATAGTGAATTGACTTTTAAAGTGCTTTTGAGTATTGCCGTAGAACTGGCACCTTAGAAATAAAATGGATGTTAAATGCTAATTTGTACCTGACAAATGATTGAGAAGAAGAACCGGCATCTTTCATTCGTCAGCTGTTGGACTGATGGCTTTCATCGTGCATGACCTCATGATAATGTGCATTTGGTCAGGACCCTAGGAATGACTAGGATTGATCCTGGAGTGTAGTCTAATTTCATTTGGCTGGTACTAAATGGTGCAGACAGTCCCCTTTTTGATGGCAAACTGTTCTTTGTCACTGACGTTTTTCAGATCAGTTTTTTGAAAGACTGGAACATGTAAACTTGTTTTGCTTTTCTCTTATTTCTCTCATTTTTAACTTCTACAGGTCTTTTTGGTAAAGTGCATGGAAATAAGTGAGGAAAATACGAGCAAATGTGACATATCCACAAAGTTTTGTTTCCGTGGTTTGTACACAGTTCAAGAAATACTTCTTTTCTTTGTCCCGTTCTCCTTCTGACTTCCAGCACGTCATCTTCGTCATCAAGTTTGCGTTGGCCTACATAGTGCCGGACATGCCTTCCTTCATCAAGAACCAGATCAAGCGGGAGAACTACCTGGCCCAGCAGGCCCTGGAGGAGGCCACCCGAAAGGAGATCGTGGAGAAGCGACAGAGCCGGATGCCGGACAGCGAGAAGGGTGCCGCGGCAAGGTAAGCCAGCCCTATGGGCTTCATTCACCAGACGGCCATTGTGGACCTGTCTCCCTGAATCCGCTTCACTTAATGAACTCTCTGAAATGGGTAGGATACCGACCATGTTGTTTTAACCACAGGAATATCATTTGAACAGTAAAATGTAATACCGGGTATAACTTTTTATCCGTAATTTGGGTCTACCCTTTAGAGCACAAGGTTGATACTCTATATATTGCCTGTATTGCATCATCCTTGTTCCCACAAATTGTAAGTTTGTAGACAATTTCTACAGTGATTGCCAAATTACGGATTCATGATGGCCAACTCGGTATCAGTACTGTCCAATGAATAGGAGTACCGGTAGTTCTCATTTTCAATATAGTTCGCCCTCGCCCCACTTTCAGCATAGTTTGGGCTCATTGGTCAACATCGCTGTCCACTCAATGAACAGTTGCGTCACTTTGCAGTTGGCTAGTATCGAGTAAGAGTGAGATCAGTGAGAGTCAGTGAATAAGGAGAAATTTTGGACTGGTTGTTGCATCCCATGGGTTGTGATGAGAAACGGGGGAAGGATACAAGATTTGCTTTTTGCAAGTGTGTCCAGTGTAAGATAAATCAGTACTGTGCATCATTGCTGTACACCTGTTGCCGTGAAGAATTTAGTGCGGATGAAGAAAGTGGTGTTTTTTTAAGTGACACATTCATAAAAACTCCCTCTCTGTCTGACATTCTAGGATACACAGTTCCAAGCAAAGCCTGTACAGCCATTTACATGTGGCATTTAAAGTAAAGCGCAGTTACATTCAAGTCTCGGCAAACATACACTGCTACCCTTGCAAATACACTGACTCCCTCCCCTCCAGCAAATGAAAATGTGCCAAATGTCACCAGATCCCAAGTGAATTTAGAATTGGGAACTCAATTTCTACCTTCAACTTTGAAGTAAGGATGGTACTCTTCGAGGACTAAATTTTCTCCAATTTCTTTTCTTTTCTTTTCTTTTTGTTTTATTTTAGAAAGTTGTAATCTTTTGAAATGTTTATGCTCCCTTCACTTACATTTACCACCCTTTTTTTATTTTTCCTTCTTCCCAGTGGTTACCAGTAAAGTTCGAAAATCTACCCTGCTTGCACCAAGACCAATCTTTGTTAATCATCCACATTTTGTAGCTACACGTAGCTTGATTAGAATGCTCTTCATTTGAGACCAGCTTATTCCAGAGTTGTATCTACATGTAATCCTAGAGTTATCATAGTCTTAAGGCAACAGATTCTTGTAGGATATTTTTGATATATGCAGTAATATTTATATTGCATGACTTGGTTTATATTCTGATTGTAGGAGAATATCAAAAGGTAAACATTCTCTTTTAATACTTGAAGTTGAGATTACAGGATTGGTTTAAAAAATGTTCATTCCGTAATCCAAAACAAATACATTGCATGAGTAGTGTACGTGTATGAAGTTGGTTTTGTTCTTACTGCACTACATTGAGATGGGGACTTCAAAAACTGGTCACTGGTGCCCTGCACTTGTTGGTAAACATCCATTTTTTGGAGGTATTTCACTACAGGAATGTCCTCCATGAATTATGGTAGAAATTGTGCCAAGCCTAGGATTTCCTCTTCAGATATTCACTTGTTGAATCAAGTTTCCATGCAAATTTGTCAATTAAAAATTAACCTTAACTATGAAGCATAAATCAGTCTTGATTTGATATTTTAGAAAATGGGTCTTGCTTCCTCAGTTTTCAAAGAAATAAAATACCATTGTATGTGCACTTTGGCATTACAGTTCGTGATTATTCAACAAATCTGATTGGCCATCACGTCATATTACTTGGATGAATGTTTGTGAGATACGCCATCATGAGTACATTGATCAGTGGTTGCCAAAATTTAGGAAAATCTTTAAAAATGAATTTTTAAAGATTTTCCTAATTTTTTTTTTGAAGATCAAAATAAAGTCCCCTTGTGCAGTATGAAAAAAATCTGCTCTGTAAGGAAGGAAATGGTGTACGTTTTAAAAAGAAAAGGGACTATGAAAACATTTACTTAGTGCCTCATTACGTACATGTAGTTGGGATGTAGCATATATTCTAAGGTTTTAATAAATATTGCAGTTTGCATGATTTCAGGCAAACTTTAAAGCAAACAATGCAAATAAAAGGGTGAATAATGTTGGGGTTGTACAGATCATTTGCCTGTTAAATGTTCATGGAATGAATTCCTATCAAAATGAACAAATTTCCATTCAGGTAAATGCGAGAAAAAATGATTGATCTCTAACCTTCCATAATTCTAATGCTTTTTTTGTTTATGGTTTTGCTATCTAATTACATTAAATTATATGTGCAGTAATACCGTTTATTTTTAAATACGTAGATAGCATGAAACATAATCGAGGGGTATGGTGTTAAATGTACATTGGTATAAATAGTGGATAGCTGAAGTGGGTACGTGTTCAGCAAGGACACCAGACAAGTCCAGTTTGCCATCTCGAGGAAAGGGAATCATGTTTTTTTTCATTTGTAGAGATAACTGTAGATCGCCAGGATCTTACTTGGAAAAGGCTATACCTAGCAACTTGATGAAGAATGGAGAGAGAGGGTGTTTTTGACTGGCGTTTTGGAAAGAACATGAAAACGAAAACAATGCTGTAGTTAATGCATGCTTGTGCCCATAGAGACAGATCAAAGGATGTCAGAGTACCACATGACCACATGTTTTCCTGAGATCAGCCATCATTGCAATAGATAAGCATTTGCCTTGTACCGAAAGTTGTAAACAACACAATAGAGCTTATATTCATGCAAAATAAAATGGGAATTCTTTATCAATTTGTCGTTGTCATGCCGATCCTGCATTCTGCATGTTTCTTTGTCCTTTGTAAATCTTTGAAGACTTGCTTAGTACCCAAACACCTTGTGTGGTGCGGGGTGCCGTAGTTTTAAACTGCAATCATGGTTGCTAAACATTTGGTCATGTGGGTCAGTGGGAATGCCCCATTGGCTCTGAAATTCACTGATAATGTGAGAAGTGCATGTTCTCTCTCTTTCCATTCGACATAAAGGAGCAGGCAACACTAAATTCAATTCTTGATCAGTGTAGGTGGCAGTGCAGTCTGGTAGCCTTGCTGTCTGCAAAGGTTTCATCAGAAACTTCAAAGTCACTGTTGCTAAGATTTGAGCACCAATTTCTTGATTCTTACACAAACTGATTTGTTTCTGCACAGGCATATACGCCGTAGGAAAACTTTAGGAAGTACATTATGGTTGTTATCTTTCACATGAAGAGAGCGCAGAATGATGTTAGTATTACTTAATGAACTTCAGAGGGACTAAAAGCTCTTACTTTATAATATGGCTTAACTTGGTCTGGTTCCACATATTCTCAGTTGAGATTTCAACGGGGCTATGTCAGAGGTGGTAATTTTTGGCACCACACCGAGGCGTGTGGTTGTCAAATTACAAATCTTTTGCTTTTTATTTTAACTTTCATATCGTGGGCTTTCGGTCACAAAGGCTATATTTACCAAAAAGGACTTGCCTTTCTCTCTTACACGGACTTTGGATACGAAGTGCCTGCTAATTTACCAAAATTATAACATTTTGTTGATTTTCAATTTCGCGCTCCATCTCAAAATTTCCTTTGAATCTGAAGTTTATTTAATGCTGACAAATGAATTTTACTTCTTTGTGTGTAATAACTTTAATTTCCAACCCGTTTTCCAACACGTCTAGCCACATGTCCTCAAAATATGGACTTCTCAGATTTTATCATCATGTGAAGCCCTGTTTATATTTGAATGATTGTATTGAAGATACATGGACTCTTCCACTTTCCCCCCTTTTGCTATTTTGTATTCACAGCTCATGGGTGCATTGGTAGGTCCTTATTAATTTGAGATGTGTTGTCCTAGTCAGTGAATCTGTGGGATCTCAAGAGGAGATTTCCGTTTTTTTGGTTTTTTTGTAACACAGATTCGTTTTGTGTTGTGTGCTTGTGGGCTACGTGCATCTCTTCTGACAAAATCTTCAGGGATTTCTGTTCTTTTGGAAAAAATATATCATTTCCCACGATATTTTGTAGCATAGTAGAATTTGGTCGAGACTCTATTTTATGATAATTATAAAATATTAATAAATGAATAACAAGTATGTCTCCATTTTTAATCTGTATAGTTTAAATTGTGCTTTTGTTTCTATGAGATCTCTTCATCTTGTTAGTAATGGTGATTATTGTGAGCTGTAAAGTCCATGTAGTAGCTGTAATAGTGGAATTGTATGCATTTTTTTCACTTGTATCCTGTATTTGTATTTAGTTTCTTTTTGAATAATATGAGCGGATGAAATGGAAAAAATGAAAAAAAAAACATGTTCTTGTGTTATTGTAGTTTGTACTATGGATCAATATTGTGTGTTTTTTTTGGGGGGGTGATAGGTATGTTTTGCCCTCACAGCATGAAAAGAACTTTTATTCATTCATACCTCTTGTTAAAAACAAATTTGTTCGCTCTTGTGTTTGTGTTTTTTGCTTTTGAGATTTCTCCATGAAGAATAGGAATGTTTAAGTGTTCACCATGTTTAGCTGTTCTGTATTTGCTTAGCATAAGCAAGGCTGCACACCTGTTACAGTGGGATTGCAGAGTTGTCAGAAAAGAGCCACAGTGCACTTTCAGCATATGGGTGATTGGCAGGCTTTACTTTGAGGCAACTTTAATCTTTCAAAATTAACTTGAAATATTTTATGTGATTCACAGGGATGGCACAGCATCAGACAAGCTATCTACAACAGTGCAGCGGCCAGCAGACTCCATGTAGACTATACCTCTCGTCACAGTGCTCAGAAATGTGATCAAATTATTGATAATGGTCACACCAGAGCTGTACAGAGTTGGGACATGAGTGTCACCATAGTTGAAAACAAAGTGGCAGGTGTTTGTGCCAATGCACACGGAGAGTTGGTATACAGTAGTCACACGCTCTACTGTAAACAGCCATTTTGTTTCCAAAATCCGAATCTGGTGCTACTCTTTGGCCGTGTTTGCTTTACATGGATCTGGATCACAATCAGTCATTGGTATACAGACACCAAAACTCACCTTATGGATGATGTGAACCAGTACAATGATCACTGATCGTGATCCAGATCCGTGTGAAACAAACAGGCCCTTTCGGTATACAGTTCTGGGTCAGACTAGTCTGGAATCTGACAATGCTCAAAACCCCTCCCCAATAAAACATCAGAAATTACCAAAACTGTGATTTTAACCCGACAGCATTACATCAAGGCACCAATGAAAATCTTCTTCCTCCCTTCCATTTGGAAAGTGATAAATAGACTTCAAAGTCTCTCGTTATTGCCCGCCTCAAACCTATTCTGGAGACACCCCACCCTGAAAATCCCAACGTTTTTGACAATACATTGGCCAACCACACTGATTTTTAGCTACAGGTTACCAATATCAGAGGGTCATGTACCTCTTCACTCATCCTTGCCAGAGTGGCCTTGATCACAGATGTTGTCTCGAGACATTTCATGTGTGTACATTTGTGAAACCCTTTCCGATCTGATGCAGTGTTGAGACAAATATACCACATGCATGTACTGATCTTTGACGCATTACAGCTTTGCCTGTATCTTAACTAGCTCTAAGTAGAATTTCCCTTTATATAAAAGTATGTTGATTACAGTGGCAACATTCAAGAATTGACTAGCTGAGTGATGTCAGGGAATCGTCAGGAAATCACTTGAGCCAGAACTTGGGCTCCTGAGCTGTTAATTGTACACAGCATGTGCTGTTCATGTGAAGGATTTCCCCCAAAACAAAGCCATAAATACCTGAAATTCGCCACACAGCCCTAACCTCATGCAACTCTATGTTTCTGTGTGAACAATCTGTCACCCCAAACCTAACTCTTTCAAATGTTGGCACGCAATTTTGCAATCATTTTATTGGAGACCCACCGCTTAGGAAATCCCCGTTGTCCCAGACCCATTATGACAATTTAAGTTGGCCTGAATACAGGTGAATAGGCAGTGAACAGCTACGCCTGTAGTCAGTGTGTCAAACAATTGCCTTTCCCCCGCCCAGCTGTTGTATCTTTGCATATCGAATAAACTAATCCTACCTCAGATCAAGCCTCTTTAAAAAAAGGTGTGTGGATTTTTATCTTTGGCCAACTACCAGTATACGTGTCAGGGAACTCCACTCATTTTGACGATCGATACCTTTATATGCTTGGAAATAGTACATATTTGTTCAAAAATTACAGGTTGAAAATTTCATGACATATTCAGACTGTTCAACAGATGTACACAATTGTTACAAAGTAATTGTAGTGTACGAACCTTGCTCGCATTTTGAGAAAACCTCAATAATGGCAGAATTTATTAGCAGCAGGAAACCACTGAACTTTGTCGGCTCATCACAGACCCATGAATTTTTGTTGTGAGGGTTCAGATGGTGAAGATTCATTTTATTTCAGTATGGATGTTGGAATGTTAGGATTTTTGGCTTTGTTGAAGTTAAAAATGCAGTAGGTAGTGTGCACATAAAGTACCTGTTAAAGACCAATTACATCCATCCTTATTTTCACATGCCAGTGATCCAATGTGCTCTGTGTGTTTTGTCTCGTAGAAGTTATTATAGTTTTTACTTCGTGCCAGCAAGTACAAGTAGTCTAAAAAGAGTGCACTTTATACAATAGGTTTGAAACTGATTTTCCACTTATATCATTTCAGACTTATGTTCACAGTAGTTTGAGGAATTAAAATATAACTTAATTCTGAACAAAATTGTTCAAGTTGTGACTCAGCTGAGATTTTAACTGTAAGTAGATCTAAATGTTGCCAACCAATAGTTAAGTATGTCTAACATCTGCATGAGATATGCAGAATAGTACGGTAGTCTTATCTCCAAGCACATAGTGTGGTAAGCTTGGTTAATTTTTTTAATTGTATGTAAAAACTTCTGCACTTTTTAAACTTAATTTTTTTTGTTTTTTTACTAATAGTGTATATTGGGTTTCCTTCTCTTATTGGTCCACATCATGACATTGTGTTAATATCTGTCACTGAAGGAAAGAATAAATACCAAAGACATTTCACTAAAACTGGGAAATCCAGTCGGTAAAGGTGCTAGATATATTTGGCCCTATTTAATCTTTATTCCAATTTCTGTTGAATCTTGATATTATTGTATATATATATTGTTCATTATATCTTTCATACAGAAATGCTTTGGAGGTAACTGCTTTATTCAACCTGAACAGTAGTCAGTCAGTGACATCTTGAATGTTCCAAGCTCTTTCCCGCAAAAGAATATAATTTTGAAAATGTTTTCAAATCCTATCTTGAATATATCAGAATCAAGATTGTTCAATTCCTTCTTGTCAACTTCTTAATAATTCACTGCACTATTTTTACAGTGGCTGCTATCCATTTTATTAGCTGTTTCGGGTACCGGCCGAAACAGATATTGTTTTTGTTAATTAGTTTTTTTTTCTTTTTTTCTCCTCCACATCAAATCCCATTCCATAACATGGGTTTTCGTTCTGAGCAGGACTTCTACCCTTTTGCAATGTTCGATTTACTTTAAACTTGGCAGGTCTTTGGACAATTATCCAAGGATGGTCCTGGAAGAAATTTGTGATGATGACATCATCATGCGATTTCTTTTTGAATATTTAATTTTTTCCCATTGACTTTGTACACATTTTCAAGCCATTATTTTCAAACCTTCGCAATGTGTGATCGCTTTCAAAGTTATAGCCAACAAAGACCCTCATGCAAGAATGATTCTAAAGAAATGACGTCATGATGACGTCTTCATGTGATTTAGTGTCGAATTTTCAATATTTATTTCAGTTCATTGACTTTGTACACGTTTTCAAGGCACAATTTTGAAAGCTTTGCGATATTTGATCGTTATAAAAGTGACAGCCAACAAAGACCCTGATACAAGAATTATTGTAAGTAAATGACGTCATGATGACATCATCATGTGATTTGGTATTGATTTTTCAATATTTAATTTAGCCCATTGACTTTGTACACGTTTTTTAGAATTTTCCTAAAGTTATGACGTCATGATGACATCATCACCTAACAGAAAATTCCAAAACAGCTCAGTGGTTGTTCACAACCACGTTCATCTCGTTTTATTTACTTTCCCCACCACGTTTTCTCGTTTAGATTTCTATGACTTTAACCACATTCATTGCTTTAATTGCATATGCTTATGTTCTTGATCCTGTTGCCAGAAAAATTGAAGCAACATTGTTCACTATCATTCCAACTGCCATTAGGCCTTATATCTTCATGTTATTTTATGTTAGTGCATATCGCATTTGCTATAAACAGTTTCTCCCAAGGGGACAAAATTCCACATGAACATGTCTGTGTCCTTGTGATAAGTACACAGTTTATTCGATGTAGAGAGTAGCATTTTACTAGATGCTTAGAATCCATTTCCTCATGTTTTTTTATGCTTTTGTACAATGTGTAGGTCTGCAATAGATTGGACGTATTGTAGTTGAGAATGGTATGCGTCAATAACCTAAGAGAGTTTTCGATTCACACAAAGCTGAGAAATGCCAATCTTTTCTGGCTTCAAGGTGGTGCACAAAGTTAAAAATCAGGAAATAGTGCCGTGTGTAACCATGAAGTAAATGGTGAGAAAAGTAGAACATTTGCAGGACGAAGCCATTATAACACTAAAATTGGCAATATTACATTATTTGACTGTGATTTAGAACTTCCAAGCAAATGTGTATTTCTGATTTTCTCTGTTTTTATTAAAAAAATGTGCAAGGGTTTAACCTTGCTAATGCTCTCCCAGAATGCCTAGGCTATCCAATTTAAGGGAAAATATGGCATGTCACTAAACAAAATCACTAAACCAGGTAGTTGATGCTCATAAGTTGGAATGTTGTACACAACTTTTAAGCAAATGATTTTGTGTTTCAGACATTCTCATCCAGTATTCAACACTGGCAAGGGGTTAACCTTGCATTGGAACTGAGGATTTAAAGATTCAAAAGTAATGCATTAAAATTTGTAACAGTTGTTTAGGAGGCAATATTGAATATGGCGAAGGGTTTGACTTTACATTTAGCAAATTTGTCTCTTTTTCGGACATTTTTCAACATTTGCAAGATGTTAACCTCCAACTGTGACTCAAATTTAGTTTGTTGTGATCAACTGTCCAGCAAATGTGGATTTTAGAATTTTTAAGCCAGTATTCAAACATGCGAAGGGTTAACCTTACATTTGAGGACATCGCCTTTAGGACATCAAAATATTGAAACATTTTGTCAATTGTTAAGGCCAAAGATGACGAGGATAGCTGTTAATTAACAATGCATTGCGACTCATACTTGGCATTCTATGGCCAATATTTGGTGTTCCAAGTGAGGATTTAGGAAGTCAAAACTTATGTATTAAAATTGTTACCAAGTTTTTAGGAAAAATTTTACAAACAGCAGATTTGGAATTTGTGTCGCTTCTCCAAGCAAATTTGTCCAATGGAAATTCGTATTTGGTATTTGCAAGGGGTTGACCTTGCATTCTTAGAATTAGAATTAAGGGATCAAATATAACGTATTAAAAACATACCATTTTTGGACGTTTAAAACATGGCAAGGGATTAGCCTTATTGGTGAATCACAGGTGGAAATTTGTTCACAACATTAAGACAAAAGGTTTATTTCAGAATTTTGCAGACACTATTCAATTGTGCAAAGGGTTAGACTTGCTTTTGATTTGGAAGATAAAACTTATGTATGAAACTCTGTAACAGGTTTGTCAGACCAGTTTTTATAAAAAGGTTGTTAACTTTACTCTGACTTGCATTTCAAATTTTGTACGTTTCAAGCCAGTACTAGAACATTTGCAAGAGGCTAACCTTGCATTTTGATCAAAATTTAGAACTGTCTGTTACCGGTTTGGAACATGCGTTTAGGACTAAATCAATATTTCTCTGCCAACCAGTCCTGGAAGTTCTCAGTAAACTTGGCAAAGGGAAATTGGCTAACCATGTATTTAAAAGGACCATGAAATAGAAATATTTTATTAAAGCCCTTAAAACTGCACCTGTGGGTTTCAATTAACCTAATTTTTAATTCTGGTTATGCAATTTTAACCCATATTTTGGAGCTTTTTGGGTTTTATGCAAATTATGCACATTTAAATATTCATGAGAAAATCTATGATGTCATCTAAGGCACTAAATCTCAATGCTCACTTGCCCATAAGGGCTTGATTAATTTTGAATGCTAAGAAAGAGCACTTATCAGTTCATGTAAATCAAAAAGGATGTCGAACAGTCTGTATACATTGAAGCAGAGTACAAGATACACAAATACTGCTAAGAATAATTCGTTGCATGGATCCTTTAACTTTGAAGTTGGCCCTAACTTGACATTTCTGCAGAATAGCAATGTGTTCCACACTGCACAGAAATATATAACATCTTTCGGTCAATATGCATTGTACATGTATGGTGCAATACATGTAGTTTTAGGGAAAGAGTGATTGAGACAAGTCGTGAAAACTGGGCAGATGGAAAATGGCACTGCAAATGAATGAAAGAAAATGAAGGGATTACTGTTGAGCAGTTCCAATGAAATTGATTTGACTACAGATTATTTCATAAGCATCTCCTGGAAGATTTTTGATGCAATAAAACAAAAAGGTATAGTGGAGAGAAAAGAAGCAGATTGGCAAACAAGACTTGCTGTGGTTTGGGTATCATTTATCCAGTAGCCCAAAATATGCACCACAAGTGTTCCAATATATTTATTTCATGGTCGCTTCGGGTGCAACTGTCAAAGTCAAACATATCTAATAAATAGTTCTACTCGATTTATTACTGTTTTTAGCCTTTACGCACTGATCGTGTAAACATGCATAAATGTTTATCATACAACGAATACAGGGTATAAATATTGAGCTAAAAAAATGTACAAACCGTTAATTCTGAAACTTTACCGATACTTCTGTGCATGCTTAAAACTTAAATACATGTAATAAAGGCGTAAAAATATATCAAAATGCGTACAAAACCCAAGAAATTACGTTAGTGGGACGTCTTGGCATTTCTTGTAACTCAAAGTTGTGGCAGCAATGGACTATCTAGTGCGATCTGCTTAGACAGTTGGGAACACTTCAGGAAAACTAATCACACATTCTACTTAACTTTCAAGGGAGGGGGGAAATCTCCCTGAACCACCACAGTGGCGGGGGCAGACCTGCCTGGAGTTTCCTTCCTGCCCTTGTTTTGAAATTTAAAGTGCTGCATGAAGATTTGAGGGTTAAAAACATTATACCTTTGTGCGCTGGCCAGTATTGTTAACTGAACTGTTCAATAAAGCATGTTTAAAGGGTAACAGAAATTGAAAATATTTAATTCATGTGAAGTATTTCAAAATAACAATAAATACGTAACCATTTCAAAAATATCATAAATTTTATGTTTGCCCCATTAATTGTGACCCCAAATGAACAAAATCCCTTCTTGGCCGTCCACACTGACCTGGCTGATTGGATGATGTCATTGCCAGAATGATACACGTACAATGTATATAGCGCACAGTACATGCAGTATCTCACGCAACAGACATGTTGTGCTTGATGTAGCTTGGCCCACAGGCAAACACTGTCTCAGTTCAAGAAATACATGGTAGGACTGTCTCTTTTAATTTCTTCCTTGAACTTAGGCAGTCTGTGGGCCAAGCGACATCAAACACATTGTGGTCTTTTGATACTGCATGTACTGTGCGCAATGTACACTATACATGTCAGCGTTCTGGCGATGATGTCATCCAATCAGCCTGGGAGCGCGAATGGCCAAAAGGGAATTTTTTTGTGGGTAGGTAAAAGCAGGATTTTTTATTCATTTTGGGGTCACAACCAACGATATAAACATTAAATTTACAATCTTTTTGAAATGGTTACGTATCTATTGCCATTTTGAAATACTTCACGTGAAGTAAATGTTTTCAATTTCTGTTACCCTTTAAAACCTAACAATTCAAACTGGAATAGCCCATACCCCTTAAAACTTGTTTGAGTAGCTATCTTTTTATATACAATGTACACAGGTTTAAGTACGTCATAAATACACCATTAAATACTCTTTAAAATAGATGTTCTTGATACTTCATGCAGGTAAGTTCATTCAGAGAATGTTTCTAATGTAAATGTTACATGTCCTGAAATGTTACCATTACCAGTGATCATACTAACGCAGCATTTTACACATCATGACACAACTTAAAATGAATCGTGAGTCGCAAGTTGCTCAAGCCACTTGAATGACAGGCCTGTTAAAGACTCTTGCACCAAGTAAAGCAATAGGTACCCTCAACCTTTTTACCAGCATAACGTACATCTTCCTCAGGATGCCAAACTTGAGGGATACACCAAACAAAGAATTCTGTTTCCTTTTTTTACAACCTCAAGGGATTTGGTCGCATGATAAATCTCATTACTTCATCCCATCAGCCAGTGCTGGTGACCAGTATCTTTGTCACGATTGTTTTCACAGGTGAACCAATGAACAGAAAGCGCGTGATCACTTTAAAGTTGGACAGGATGTGCACAATCAAATTCAGTGTAGGTTCTTGACAGAGATGGCACTCAAGTGTGTGTCAGTAGGAAATAAACACTACCGCCAGCTGGAGTGACATATAATATACAAATCATGAAAAGTGAGAGGGCCTCACAGAGAGGCATGATTTGTTCGAGTGTGAACCATAACTGAATGTAGCTGAACATTTGCCAATGCGATGTTTACAATTATGCAAAGAATACTGGCTGAACGGTAATTGGTCAAGTTCTCAGTGCTTTGGACCAATCACGATGTAGAAAATACAAGAGTTCAGAGTAAAACCACAAGCTGGAGTGATCTTAAATATGCAAATCATAAAAGTGAGAGGGTCTCACGGAGAGACTGAGATTTACTTGGAGGTGGAACTGTATATGACTGAGTATTTCAGTCTAGTAATTACAAATAGAAAGAGAATACTGGGCCAAGCTCTCAATGCCTTGGACCAATCGCAGGGAGTAAAACATTGACAAGAGTTTATAGTGAGACCATGACGAGGGCACTGCCTGTACTCTACCCATCACTTTGGGCTATAAACTACAGATGTTAAAAGAACACCGAGACGGAGAAAGTCGACAGAATGATGTTGAGAAATCTAATGCACCAATCTGTGCCGCAAATCAACACCAGAGTTCAAGCTCACATCTAATCACTGTTTGGGGTAACTACATCAGTATGCAAAGTTGCAAACAACACATAATCCATAAACTAGCTGCAGTTTGCTAAGTGTGTCTCTCAATGTTAGCCCTCTATCTCCTCCAAGGTTATTTGTGGTTGGATACACATACATACATGTACAGAATAAAACAACTGTAAACCTCTGAATGCTCACGAACATTTATACCACAATTATTTACAAACCACCTGCCTGATCTCACCAATCAAGACTACGTTCTCGGATCTCTCTCCCTAGCAAGAGTGAGGGGCAGTGATCACTCAAACATTGTATCAGATAAATATTTTTGTTTCGGGAAACTTTCTACACATTACTGGTCCCCGCAAAGAAGACACTGTTGCCAGGACCCTGACTGTTCATTACATGTCAATGGCCCCAAGTCTTAGCTTGGCCCCAAGCCCAAATACCTGTGCTTCATCTGGTGTGATTCCAGATTGAGGACAGCAGCCTAGCGAGAGCAAGCAATGTTGTACCAGCAGCATATGTTGCCATTCTGCAGAAAATTCCAAAAAATTATGTTGTTTAATGCGTCAGAGAAGAAATTTTTCTGAACATGCCGATTTCATAGGATCAACAACGTAAGTCATAAAAAATTAAATTCATCACAATAATTATTCATCTATAAAGTACAAATTCTGTTTGAAAATTTCAAATATGCTGTATAGAGTATAAGTTAAATTTAAAATATTACAGAATGAAAAAAGTAAAAAGTTGCTGTAAAATGTTTAACACCGTACTAATACATGACATCACAGAGGTAGAAACTGGCTCAAAGCCAATCACCGAGTCCAAAGCAAAAGCAAGATTCCTGATTAGGGGGATAGGCGCACATAATGTTGACTTGAACTTGTACAATGTGGGACCCTCCCACCATCAAACAAAGCTGTTATATGTAATTTGGTTAAACTAATCTAGGGTAAAAGATTGCACACATGTTTAAATTTCACTGCTAACAGGTCAAAGCAGACCTTTGCTGATGACTTCAACCCGGTCTTGGGAAGGTAACTGACATAATTTGTCTCGCAAATAATCTGATCCTTTTGACTATTAAACTTGTGCAACAAGAGTTCTGTCAATGACCAGTCCAATCAAAACAAGTAAAAACTCACCCTGCAGATGCACTCGGTGCACTGGTCGTCCTCCAGGAACCACCACTGGTTGTGAGAGTAGGACGCCCCCTGGTGTTCACAGTCAGCCATGTCCGACGACCCCTGCACAGCTATGCTGAAAGTGTCGCATGCATCGTGGACCTGACAACGAGGGCAGCATTCGCCAACTGGTGTGTATGTCTGTAGGCAGTTGGGGGCTGGGCAGTTTGGTGCCTCGCAAAGTATAGTACCAGCCTACATGGAAAGGATGGTATGGTATGTAAAACCTGCATGTACTACTGTAGCATGGACTTTCTCTGCCATCACCTGACAACTTCCTGTGAAACATACCGTCTTTGAAAATAATACTGACAAATGCAAACCTACAAATACAAATGAATTTACTACGTAAGCATTTATTTTCCCTGATTTCAACAAATTTAAAGATGTAAATATGCATGATGAGTAGTGCATGTTTGATTCAAACATACCCCGTCCCACAGTTAAAAAAAAAGCAGTCTGCCATTTTTGATGATGGCATATAATTCTGCGTTGTATTCTCTCCATGCTGTCTGTGCATACATGTAGTTGTCATTTCTTGACAATTACAGAGGAGGAAGCATGCTACTGCAAACTCACAAAAACTGAGGACATTTCCCAATGCAAATGATTCTGTACAGTGCTTTATAATTTGTAATGCCATCCATGAGAAGTAAAAAACGGGGGATATCAGCTGATCCAAAATGAAAAGATGAACGCCTACTGGCTAATCGCATCAGGCTCCTCCCCTGAATAGGCCGCTACCCTGAACAGCGATGACCTACACAAGCACAATCTCACTCAAGTATGGTTGCTAGACCACAGCGGCAACAATCAACAACATCCACCTACCTCACACCTGCACTTCTGGCATCCGTAGTTCCACCTGTCACCGTCGTTGTAAACCACGGTGGCCGACTCTTGGTGCAGACACTGGGTTGAGACCCGACACTCGGGGCAACAGTAGTCTTCAGCGTCCGACATCTTCCTGCTACAATCGCATTCCTTAGGCCTGCACATGACCACTCCGTGCTTTAAGACCCAAACAAGTAAGAGTGGGAAATGCTTAAGTCAAACAAGTCTGATTTTTTTTTCATGAGGGAGAGGGGAGGAAGACAATCTAAAGGACGCTAAGATCACTTTCAGGCTGATGAAAGCACAGCCCAATACTCCACTAATACAACTTTTTAAAAAAGTTGGAACATTTCTGTTCCCACTGGAATGCTCCTTTAACCCTAACCCCCTAGGGTGTATGTAAAATCATATTGAAATCGGAGGATTTGGGACTGTTCGGGTTAAAGAATGTTGTGTGTTCTAAGTGGGAATTTGCCACATTCTCACATCAGATTACATAAGAAGACCAGTTTCCTACTCTGGAAAATGCCTCATTTTAAGAAGCAATGTGCTTGTGGAACTCTTTAGTGTTCAGACTTTTTAGATGCTCCCTAAAACTTCTTTAAAATATGACCAAAAATAACTATTGTCGTGCAAAACAGATTCCCAAAAAACCAATAAATTACACTACTAAATTAAATCACAATAAGCGAAATTCCAATTCCCATCTTTTTACCGAGCACGTGCACGTCTGGCACTGGTCGTTATCCCAGGATTGATCATGGCTGTACCGTTTCTTCTTAACGACACACTCTGACAAGCACTGGCCCGAGGGCGAGCACAGACACTCGTAGGAGCCCGGCAGGTTGTTGCAGAGCCGTGAGGAGTCACAGGTGTTGGCATCCTTGCATTCGTTGATGTCTGGGGAAGAGTCAGGATATCATAATAAATAAATAAATAATAAACTCTCTTGTGATGGCACCATCAATGTGACAGAGGAAATCTTAAGTTTGTTGATTTTGACAACTAAGGTCTACGGGGAAGGCAAGTAAACCAAAAGTTACCATTTTGTTCTGCAGCATTTAAGTCAATATTTGATTCAACAACCAGTTCATGAAAGACGGATGGACAGGTTTTAATCAAGTTAGAAAGGTTAAACACACCCAATATAATTTGTGATAATGCCAAGAGAAATCAAAGTCCCTAGAATTGTTTTGATGACTAGAGACGAAGTCACACTTTGGATGCCTTATTACCCTACCAGTCCTCAATTCTCCAAATTCAAGATAATTTTGCATACACGCCAGGACGTTAGGGTTAAACCAATAAAACCAATACACTTCTTAAGACTTGAAGTTGACGTGAGCTCTGAAGATAACAGATCTGAATCCGAACACTTGCAAATCTATTCGAATGGTAATAAATGCAGCACAGGCACACAAGTGGACAGCAAAATTGAAAGTGCCTCCTATTTAAGGTCAGGCAGTCCAGTTTTACACCAAATGGGTACAATTACTATCTAGGTACCGGGAATCAGTAACAGGAAGCAGCCCTAAAGACAAACAATGACCCCCCCACAGAGTGACCATCAGACACACCCACCTGTGCAGCCAGCTGCTTCCTCGTACTGATAGCCTACATCACACTGGCAGTGATAGCTCCCTGGCAGGTTAATGCAGACCGAATTGGCCTGGCAATTGTGACTTCCGACTTCACACTCGTTGATGTCTGCGCAAGAAAAAAAAAGAGATAAAGAGGCTTGAAAAATTATTCGTAAGTTCAATGGCCTCTCCAGATCTTGTAAGAGATGAAAAGGTCGCCTGGGAGGATAAAATATTTGGCAATATCCACAAAGACAAAATACAGGAAATAACAAGGGTGTTATGACTACTAACTTTCTGTTATCAGTAACTTATTACAATTGTGGTCTTTACTGATAACCCGGTACAGTTCAAAGCATGTGGGAAGTAGAAAAATATACAAGAAATCAGTAAGTTCCACAAGGCAATTTTGTACGTCATATTCTTCTATAAATGCATTCAACGAGCAGAATTCTTACTCATGTTCATAATATAACAAATATCGAATGCTGTATCAAACTATGCACAACAGGAGAATTTGTGAAAGAGCACAAACGTACTTGTTCCACTGCTTTGGGGACAACACGCGTGTTGAGATACAGACATTGTGGGGACCAAATACACAAACTTGGACTCCAACAACTCAGTCTCGCCTTTCTCTACAAAAGAAATTGTCCCCTCAACGTGGTAAAGGTCTAGGCAATGGCAACAACCCACTCAGTGTGCACATTATCTCCATCAAAAATCACGCACTAAATTCCAAGCATAAGTACCTGTTTCACACTGTTCCCCTGTGAAGCCAGGTGGGCATTCACACTGTCCAGGCTGGTTACAAATCCCACCGTTCAGGCATTGTTTACGGCACACAGCTACAAAAAGGAAAATCAAAACAACAAAAGCACAGTGTTATTTCCCACCAAATCTGACATATAAAAACACTCATTATTTCTAAAGTGAATTGAATAATACCAACCAACCAAAACCAACAAATTAAAAAGAAAGCATTTAGTCTGAACAGTCTTCAGGAAATGGTTTTCGCTTGTTATATTACACAAATGTACAAAATAGTTTTTTCTTTACTTGCCGCAGAAATACATCCTTTTTTACAAATTATTTCACAAGTTTATTTCCCAGATAGGGTACAGTTTTATATGGCACCCCTTCACCTCACAACTTGGGCATCTTGAGCCTCAACCGTAATAAATCTCTTACCTGAGCAGGACTTGCCATCACCTGCGTGATTTGCCCTGCACACACACTGATAGCTGCCGTCAGTGTCTATGCATGTCGCCCTCTTGTGGCAAGTATGCTGACCTGTTTCGCATTCGTTAATTTCTGCAAACACAGGCGAAAAGGAGGAAGCAGCATAAGTTATGCTTTGCTTATAGAGCAAAATATGAAAATATACCACCAATCAATTTGTTCTTTGATAACAGTCCTAACAAATTCCAGCACTGACTTTTAAACTGCTAGGCAAAACAAAAGTGACATCATACACAGTTAAAATGCTCTCCATTTTGACTTGTGTCCATATTCTTTAACCCTCCTATGGTTTAACAGCACAGATGTGCATGAATGCCAACAGTCACTCTTATGCATGTGTTTTCTACATGGAACACAAATATGCACGGGTTCAATGTGCATACGGTTGGTTGATGGCACAAAAAGACACAGGGTCTTTTGTGCAGTCCTCTTCGCTGCATTTGATTTACCGCACAATTATGCACATAAAACAGTGAGGCACAGTTGTTGGGCAGCACAAAAGTGCCATCTGATATTCCTGTGAGGGCCAGTTGGTGCAGTGCACAATAATTATGACACAGCTGTGCTTCTTTGTGTAGCTGACTAATCGACCCAAAGAGTGACTTTAGCATAGGAGGGTTAATTCAGGAAAATATTCAACTGGATTGTACATTTGTCATCACATTCTGATATCAATTGCTGACACACATTATCATTTGACTGAAACTTTTCTGATGACTAACATGAAAGGAATTTACTTACGTTGACATGTGGTGTCTGTCAGCCGGGAGTAGCCTGGTAGGCAGTCACATCGGTAACCACCCGGCGTGTTCATGCATACAGTCCCCTCGTGGCAGTGGTGGTTGAGCCCACCGTCTGCTTCGCCAGCACACTCATCGATGTCTGTGCAGTTGCCGTTCACCTCGGTGTATCCCGGGGGACAATGGCAGGCGTACTTGGTCTGGAGGTTGGTGCAGACTTTGGGCGGCTGGCAGGTGTGGCCCAGGCTGCAGTGGTCCATACCTGAAATGGTCACCGGAAGAGCTTGATCAGTTTCCACCAAGTCCACTGAAAGTTGCTGAAAGGACTCGGTTTCATTCAAACTACAATTTTATTACAACAAAAACGGCTAGTTTTAGCCTCCTCACTTCAAAAGGTAATAAGATTTGTGTGTCAAGTAGCAAATAATGTATGTCAGTCATTTCTGACTTTGCTCACAAAGGTTTACTGGATGGGGATGTCAAGTGATCAAAAAAACTTTGATGCACAAAAAATGATGCATTGAAGAACTCTCCTTGCCAAGTCATATTTAAGATGTTGGCTCATCTCAAAAACGCCTGAGCTTGCAACAGTTGCATGTCGCTACACATTACACACATACAAAAAAATTTGAACAACCAATAAGCCCAGTCTGGCATACCTCGATAAGTAAACAACTGGCTAATAAAATTGAAAATGTACAAAAACGTGCATGTCGTATTACATTAGGCCCTCGTCAGTATCACAGCTACTCCATTGCCCTGAATGTGTTAGGCATTTCTACCCTTGAAACTAGAAGGGATACCTTACTGCATAACTTTGGTAGGAAACTTTTGGAATCCCCCAGATTTAGAAATATGCTTCCACCCCTTAAATTGAACAACGCAACTGCCAGAATACTCAGAGACAGTTCCACGACCACACTAGTTGTACCAAAGTGTAAAGCGGAGAGATACATGAAATCTACAATTCCAGTTTTAGCTAAACTTTTGTAATTCGTTCTATTTTTACTCGTATGTGGGAGTGAGAATTTGTCATTTCACCAGCTGTCCTGAATGAACTGTCTTCAATGTTTTTTTATTTTTTTATTCCCGTTTGGTGAACAGAGATTTATAACTTACTTTTTCACAATTTGTATTTTTCCTTTTTTTAATTATGAATCATTTTCCATACTCTGATGATTTTCCATTCCCTTCTACTGATGTGTGATGCCTTTAGATTATTGTAAATGGGGTTTCATCAGCGACCCTGATGTGGCTGCCTACCCTGTATATCTTAATTGAATAAACCAGAATAAATAAATTCTCCAAGCAATTCTCCAATGGAAAAGAGAAGTAAAAACATCATTCAACATCCATGCAAATACTGAACACAGTACAACAAGGTTATCCTTAACCACTTCATGCCGGGGCTTTTTTCAATGTTGATGATGCTGGGCCGGCATGACTATCATTTTTTCGTTTTCAAAATCCTTCAAAAATTCATCATTTCATTTAACGGCCGTTTATAGCCGCACGAAGTAATCTTTAGGCACTACTCTAAGTTGAAAGGTGACCTTTATTGACGCCCGAGTATTTCAGCCAGGCCTGCAGCCTTGTAAACAGAGCCCAGATTGTGCGGTGTTGTATAACTGTCCTTTGTTCACGAACCTGGCTCAGTGCACTGCTGGCCTCTTTTCAATAGGGGCCAGATTAGCATGCAGAGGTGCTGTGTGGCTCATCGCTGCAGTGGTGGAGCACTTTTGTCCCCGGTGGTAATCCGCTCGCTCTCAATGCCCCAAACCCTGGTATACGGTTTCAAAACAAGGCTGGATTATCACCACTTTTGAAAATGAAAAATGTCGGTAATGCCCAGCAGCCTGGTCCTTTGTTCAGAGTACGGTCTTTTGTTACAGGGCCCTGTTTCCTTTGTCCGAGTTCAGAGACCCCGGCCACACATATAAACCATACGTCTCCGATTCCGGAGTCCCTGCCAGGAAGTGGTTAAGGTTTGTCGAGTGTTAGGAGCTGATGAATTTAACTGAAGGTGATCCGTCAAGTCCAACAATCCAATAAGATGATTACCTTCACAGAACTGACAGCAGTGACCTGGCACGCTGACCCTTTCAGATGCCGGGCAGTTTGGAGTGGCACAAACCTGGTGGATTAACTTGCTGCTTCTGGTTGTGGCCACACCATCCTAATGCGAGGGAAACAGAAATGCAAATCAGCATCTTCATGTAAGACAGTAATCCATCTCTCAATGATTTACATTGTTGAAATTAAGAACGTTTACCTACAAACTTTCAGACAGTGTACCAATACTGAAAAAATGCATGTGTGGATGTTTGAAAGATTTTAACCCTTAACTTCCTAAAAAAAACCACAGCAGTTTGGGGTTTCTCTGACTGGTCTTCAGACATGCTTTGTCAACGAGATAAATTTTCTGGTTATCTAACTAGATCAAATCCAAAAAGGTTTATTTAACTCACCATGCATTTGTATGTGGTGCATATTTGAGTAGGTCCCCTGCTACGTAATTCCTGGTATTCTTCCATGTGACCGTACATCAGACCCGATGACGTGCAGTTTCCTTGGAGAAATGCAAACACAGAAACTCGACGATGATGGACAGTTGAAAATTTGACAGATGGTTAACTGAGTTTCTTCAACACAGAAGTCAAGTCCTGCAAGTGTAGAGCTCATAATGACCATCTTCAATTGATAGGCCCCCAAAATGACAGTCAGTTTTTCAGCACTATTGGCATGAGAGGAATTTACCCCATGACAGATTAAGACACCCAAGAACCCAAACCATAATGGCTATTACTGATGCTCAGCTAAATTGTTCTTGGAAATATTATCTCTTCAGCAGCTTTGTGGTGTAATAAGTAAGAGCTCTAAATTGACTTACAATGTTCTCACAATACAACTACACTTAGTTTGTCCCTTCACGCCTGTTATTAATATTTTGTATTTATTATGGTTTATTAAATTTGAATGGCGGTGGCCAAAGGCCAAAAACAATTCAAATTTACTTTACGATTAATTATATCAATTAAACTTTATATTACAACATTACTAAAAAAATTAAAATAAAAAAATCCAGATACAAAAATAAGAATATAAAAGCAAGAGGAAGAGAAAGAGATCCATACGGGGAGATCACCCTACACGCCAAACTCCAATAAAGGAGGTGATTCGAAATAGCACCACCAAAACAACATTATAAACTCAATGAGCCAACAGGGAACCAAGTGAGATTCAGAGTGGTCCTCATGGAAATCTTTCCTGATAAACTATTAGCCATAAAAACTACTGCATTACATTAAAATTCTGGCCAATGTAGGGATAGTAGATTTTTTATAGCGATTTGGGAATCTGAAGAGCTGAGATGGAACTAGATCTAAGAGACGTCATCAAGATGAGTTTGTAATTTAGGATATGAGATCAACAGCCTTAAAAACTCAGTCTACAGGAAAAATTGTGGAAAGCAAGCTTACTCTTGCAAGAGGCACAGCACTGGCCATCTTCATGGACTGGATTCTTGCAGTACAGCTTGGGGCATTTGATGGGCAAACATTTGACCTTTCCACTCTGCAATGAAAACAAGGAACGCAACACCACAATCATTAATAAGGGGATGGCAGCTCTGTCAAACTGTTTCAGAAACCAGTGTCTATTCAATACCGTTGACAACTAGTGGCTTTCCCTTCTAATCCTTGGGGAAATAATGGCCACTTGTCACTTTCCAACATAAAAAAACACCGACTATTTTATCATGTTGACGGCAACTGACAAGTGTTCGGTAGGTTCTGGGCACAAATTATTGGGAGTCAAGCACGATATTCGGTATAGCGGCAGTCCACTGTACTTCATAACACATTATGCCCAAAATCTGTTTTTCTTCTATTTAACACTTACGCTGCATGTGCACTGTGTGCAACCATCTTGCCAGGTCTCACCATCTTCACGCACAGCTCCACTGACCTCGCATGACCTAGCACACGGACACTGCTGGAGCTCTTCAATACGGGTCTCTGCAGTAAAAAGCTGTCAGAAGTTGGATGAAATAAGTCCATAAATCACTGATATGCTTAAAACTTTGAACAGTTTATAAATCTAAAACAAGTTGGCAAACTTATTTTAAACAAAATTTCAAGTCAAACAGCAGAGGTTTTGCCATCAACTTTAACACTGCCAGAAACTATAAAATAGCTGACAACTTGAATCTGAGGGTAATTCAAAGCTTTAGAAGAAGGGCAAACTGTTCATTCACAAAGTAAATTCGTGGCTGGCATGATCCTTCCTGGTGCTTGAACAAGAAAATGTCAGCTGTCTTCCGTCTAACACACCTTGTGTTCCAGAGTCCTGATGCGGGCCTCAAGTTCTTGAATTCCATCAGCCATTGCCTGGAACTGGCCGCAGGTTGGACAGTCACGGCTTAAGCTGGGGCACTGTGCTAGGAAGCCCTGGGGCATGGCTACTATCCTGACGTCTTGCAATGAGCCCTGTCCCCCCAAGAAAAGACAAAGTATGGTGATACACACACAAAATTCAATGTATGTATATGCATTGTAAACACTAATTTGGCAACTTGTACAGTTTTGGAAGCTTTCTTTGGTACATGTCGTCGGTCGTACCACGATCTAACCTATCTCAGTTTTTTACATTTCGAGAAAAACGCCTTTGAAGTTGGGTCCGTTTTGGATCTTTCATTTTCCCCACTATACCAACTTTTATTGACACAGATTTCGTATTTTAATAAAGTTAGATAGTTAAATTAATATATGAGATATTTTGTTGGGCAAAAATTTTAAGTACTTGATCGAAATGAGGCACCAAAACCATATAGGTCACTTTGTTAAAATTTTATTGTCATATTTCATGAGCGCAAACCGTGACCTATCCAGATGGGTCACTTCATGGAACGAAACATTGTTATTTCTCTGTGAATGACAGTGACTTATGTCGTTTGCGCATGCGCACGAGAATTTTTCACGTTGATCTATATGAAGGTTCGTTTAAAATTCCCTCACTGTGTTTTGTTTATATTTTTCGATTAAAAAGCTTCTAAACAGTAAAACTTTGCAAAATCTAAAGGAAAGTAGAAGGGACTTGTGCAAAATCTAACAGTGTCAAAGCTGTCTCTAAAGGACATCAATGACTTTCAAATGACATTAGACAAGGATATAGACCAAATATTATGAATACAGCAACAGCTGGTGAACATTCTATGATATGGAGTGCCAGCACTGCTATATATCAAATATCTGAGGGGAAGTGCACACAAACGAACAGTGGTACTTGGGGGGGAGGGTGAATGGAAAGAAAAATGAAATAAATAGGATCTTAGCTCACGTAAAGAGAGTTCTACAATTACACTGACGACAGAGATTCGATCCGAGTTTCTTCACGTCGTGTGTACTTATTTGTGTAGTATGTAGCAAACAATGCTTTAAGTTTTCGCATGCTTTGCAATATTAACCAGAAACATGGCAACTGAATATATCTTGTTACAGTTCATTGTGTTTAGGTTCTTTTTAACTGTGTAGACAGCTCCAAAAGACGAGACGCCACAGTATTGTTGCAGTGACTGAATACACAAGTACGCCTCGCTCAGGATTTCGTGCCATCGTACGAATGTCAATCACGATTTTAATCGAATATTACCCCCCCCCAAAAAAAAGGAATACACTTGTGCTCGGCCGTTTACAGAAACAGAAACTGGGTTGAGATTAAGGTTCAACGTTCAGCCACCGAATGACACCAAACAGTGCTAAAGACTGGTTCTGAATCACTGAACTTCAAATGACAACGACAGGTATTGCTTACGGTCCAGATACCAGACTGTATAGGTCACTTTGTGGAAATAAAATGGAATTGTCTACACGTTTCACGCAGTGACCTATCTCAATGCGTCAGTCCGTGAAATAATCATTTTAAAATTTGGAGAGGTAGGTCAACATTTTTAATTACCCAAATGAAATTACTTAGCTTTTTAAAGCACCTACAAGTTTGAAAGTTTCAGAAAATAGAGATTCAGTCATGCAGAACAAGAATATGCTAAAAACCGAAATTCGTCAAAAATTGAGATAGGTCAGATCGTGGTGTGATCGACGATGTATCTGAGAAATAACTTCAGCATAAAGTCTAATCAGGGATTGCTTGTTACTTGACAATCTAAAATCTGTGTTTTAAAATCAAATTACTTTTCAATGAATAAATTGAATAAAAAAAATTACACAACTTTGTTGGATGTACTATTTATTTGGCAGGTAACTTGCATTGATTCATCACTCTTGGAAATTAGAAAATGCACTCTGAACTTACAAAATCATATGTCACATGTTACAGGGACACGAAAAACAAGAGACCCCTACATGTAATTTCTGGAATTACCCTTCTACTGCTATGATTACCAACTCCTAAGCTGCTAATTTTTTCTCCTTACCCTGAAGTAAGTCTTGTCTGGTCCCCTCTGCCCGATCCACATAGCTAGCTCTGCATCTGCCATCCGCAGGTCAGGCTGGGGGATGTAACGCGAGTCCACCTCCTTGCAGTCGTAAAATAGCCGGACGTGCGTCCCGCTGACGCTGAGTGCGATGCGGGCCCAGCGGTCAGACATAGTCTCCTCAATGTCAAAGGACTCCTGCATGACCTTGCCGTCGTGCTGGTAGTAGAAACGGATCTCGTTGTTCCTCGTGCTCATGAAGAGCTCCATGAATCTGTAAACGGCACAGCCGCAGGGTAAGATGAAATTACATGATTAATACAGATATTAAAGGTAGTAACCCACAATGTCTGTCAATGCTGTCAATTTTAAAGAGGCTGACTCTGTGTCTGAGTAGTAATATGACAATACAACTTCAGAAATGCAACTTTAAGTTTATTGGGTGCTTCATGGGACTTTGCAAACTCGGAACTAACCACATGTACATATACTATACACATACAGCTTGGTTTAAAGTAATTAACCTGACACTTTTACACAACTCTTAAATCTTTCATTCAATGCAACTTTTCCTTATTTACATGTCTGGTGTATTGCCTTGAAATTTGAATAGTTACTTTTATACGTGATTTGAGTAGATTTTTACATTTACTTAGATGGAGAGTGCAATTTTTAAATCAGCATCCAAAGTAATGAAGGGAATGACAAAGATGATCTAATGCAGCATCATGCGTGAAAAGCAACTCTTAGACAAAACTGCAACAGAGAGAGTTCCCAGTGTTGACAAATATATCGCAGCTTATCGAACCCAATAAACATGCAGAATACATGTAAGAGCAGGAGGTGCAAATGTATGCATCAAAGCTGGCTTTGCCTTTCAATGGAAGAAAAGTTCAGCTTGAAAGGAAGAATCCAAGGTTGACACCGATTGACTTGATTTCTAGCCGGAAACATCAGCGAGCAGCTGGTCAACTTAAGAGGAATGCACTTATCAGAACCTTGAAACTTTATCAGCCCACAAAATGGTAACTCTTGCACGCAGGAGAATTGTGAATTGGTGGAATGAGGATATAACAGCAGAAGGTTACAGACAATAGGCCAAGTGTTTCCAACAAGTCGAACAGTTGGACAGCTCTGGCAGAATGATTTTCTGGCACCACAACCTGGTATTATTGGTGAATCTTGGTTACACAAGGAACATGCATCTTAATAGAAAAAACATGTGACAAATTGATTATTTTTGCAGGTTGACTGAATCAGCAATAGAATGCAAACTGAAGGCGTAAATGTGAAACATGATTTTTGACGGGAGAGGAGGAAAAGTGTATAAAATGATGTCTGTAAGTTTTTCCACAGAAAGTTCTTCTGTCTTAGCACACTTTTTTATTACCTGGAATCATTGCGGAAGGATGTCGTGTCGAACACAGTGTTCGCCAAGGTACTAATGTTACAAAAAACAGAAACAGTCATGACTCATATCCAGTGACTGCATCATTTGGTATTCATGTTTCAGAATGCATCACTACACAAAGAATGTTATTGATGTTGGATCTACAGTCAAACTGATTTATGTCAGCACAATAAGGAAAGAACTAGTTTCTAAAACCACACATTACACATACACAACTGCATGTTTTCAGTATATGCCAACTAGCCGATACTATCAAGGGGATCCATTGCTACCACAGAGCAAGCTCCTGGCTATGTCACTACACAGTGGCACCTCAATATGATTAAGAATCCTCAGTAGTGGCTTCCACTTAATGAACTGGATGAAAATACATAGATCACGCATGCACCGATCACAGTTCAGCTGCACTTTCAGTAATTCAGGGCAATCAAAAAGTACACAACACGCACATGACATGAAAACCAAAGTAGAGAGAGTACATATGCACCAGCGGTGGCTGATCATCTGTCCGTGCAAGGACAGACTCTTTCTTCAAGAGATAGGAAGTATTCACCTTGCCCTGCCAGCTGTTATCGATACCAGGCTGGCCGTGTTTCTCTTCAGCTGCTTCACTGTTGCTAAAATGGTGAAGTCCGTAGTGGCAGCCAGGAGTTTTTTGGTTTTGTCAAAGAATTCTTCTGGAACTTGTAGAGTTCTGTCCCCTCCTTGAACAAAAATGAATAAAATATACCAAGCAAGTAATTAAACCGAGTTGACAAAATTCAAAGTTAACTCCAAACAGAGTCTTTAAGGGTTATTTTTATTTGAGGAAATTGCCCATACATGTATCTCACACTTTGGATAAACATGTACACGTTCATATACTAGTTATATCACAGTTTAAAGATAAAGAAAATTTTTTAAATATATAACGAGAATGCAAGGTAATGGGACTAGAGAGGGGAATCAGACAGCTTTTCTGAGAAAAGATAAATTAGCAGTATGACTCATCTTATCAAAGCAAGTACACATGTTACAAGACTGCAGAAACAGAAGGTCTACATGAATCTTAGTCCGGTTGTGATGATGAGGAACTGGTAAACATTAATAAGCATCGACCTGAATCAATCAATCATTTAAGAGCCTTGCACTGATATCAATTTTTGACAGCCTTGTCTACTTGGGATACCTTTCTGCCTGACAACCCTGCGGGATCCCTTACAAGTTACCATCATCCCCATGAAATTTTTTAACGGTCCTCATGGGGCGGTGCCATTGTAAAGTTCCTATTAATTTGAGATGCACCTGTCAGCACCCATCCAAATGTGAAACTGGCTGTCCATCAATTATTCAGGAATGTTGCGCGTGACTGCCACACTCTCTACTCTAGTCAATGGCCAGCGCTGAGATAAAGATTGCCATTCATTTGCCAATGTTTCAGTCATGGTTTTGACTTTCCGGGTTTTCCCTATCAAATTTCAAGAGGCCATTAAATAAAAACATTTTATGGGGCTCTCAAGAAGGGTGGGTGAGTCAGCATGACAAAGGGGTTTCAGAATACCAGGCTCTCCCTGCATGTTGGCACTTGTACCTTCAAAACTGTAGGCTGGGCCTTCGTTGTGATAGCCTGGCACTTGCCTAATACCCGTAGCTGCGCTTGACGTCATTGCAATTGCCTCGAGTAGATTCACCTCCAAGGCTGGGTCCACTCCATAGCTAAGAACTGAGAATGGTGAGAAGAGAGGACAAAAAATGTTAAGTGGGTATCTTCATGGGGCTTGACTCAGAGCACAAGGTCCTTCTCCAGGGTCAGATTTGGCCTGATGTGGTTGACATAGAGCATGCTTTGTTTAACAGCTGGCATGTCATGAGGAATGAGAGTTCCAAAATATATTTTAAATGAATGTATAAACTGAAATGAGGACTGACAGTAGGAATAAACCATCAACCATGCCAAGAAACAAGTATGGTATGCCCCATTACCTGTAGGTCTTAAAACACAAGCACAATAAATGTGCCAATGGATTTTATCATTTTTATTCAAGTGCAAAGTTTTAAAGGCCAACATAACTAACAAAAGCCTAGCTCATTTGTCTGGTTTTCATTCAAAAAATTCTAATTGTAGATCTCAAGGGTCATCACTTTCTCTGGAAAAAGCCAGCTCTAGCTCCAAAGCTCAACTCTGTCTAGATTACCATGCAGTCACCACTACTCTACAGTGAAAAGCACAAACTCAGGCTGAATCTGATCCTACACTGACACACCCTGACATCCAGACTGATTCAAAGCTGTTGCCTAGTTGGAATATATGTTAGACAGTTAAATCCCAGATTTGCTTTGTGTATACTGCTTTGGAAGTTAGAGTGCTCTTGTTCCTGGAAAACAACACTGAAGTGAAATGAAACTGATCCTATGGGCCTTTATCCGAATAACCTGGGCATTCTTGGCAGAGAAATACAAAAGCTTCCTGCATCGTCTCAAATCCATCGTAATGCTGTGCAGTAAACCACTATTTTATGTACATGTAACTTGTACCCGGTAACATCAGGGCCATAACAGTGTATGCGATATACAGTCCTGCGTGTAACAGAATGAAAATAATGGAAAGCCATTGCCCACTGCCTCATTACTTTCATTTTGGGGAAGTTAACGTCCGTTCTTAAATCTGTACAAGTTGATAAATGACTAAGTTTGTTGACTGACTGGAAGCATGGGTGACTGGCAATTGCACATGTTTCTTTTCATCTGAACACCCACTCCATCTGCCCACACAAGTTCTTCTTGTACCAGTAACCCATTTTACAGTACAAACTCATCTGAAAAACGCTTCCAAGGCACACATACTGGTACCATGTATTGGTACCAGAACGACAGTATACTTAGGGCAGGTTCCTCAAAATATGGACCATTAGATAATGTTCGACTTTGGGGTTTCATTTTTCCTGAAGTGAACAGCAGTGAATTAATTCCCAATGTTTGATGTAATGAGGGAAGTCATGGCTGATATCTGGAACAATGATGACTGTGTCAACCTTTCAACTTAATGGGAGTTATTTAAAGTCTCGAACATTAGCAATTTTGAGGGACATGAACTCCTTCTTTAAATCCGAGCCAATAGAATTTATTGAGGAGTGATAATCCCCGAGGTTATTTTACACAGATTTATATTTGGTGAAAGGTGATAATATTTACACATATTAAAACCATAATCACGAAATTAAAAAGTACCTCTTACAATTAATCGGGTCCTGAAGTCGGCAGTCGCGAATGTCATTCGATTCTGTCATTAGTGTAAAAATAACTGACTGCAAAAAAAGCGAGTAAAATCCATATATCGATGTACAACACAAGCTTTAAAAAAGAGTGCAAAAAAGCACCCCCAAACCATCATCCTTTTACGACTGGACCGCTCACATTTTCTTCAAGTATGTTATATATAACGGTTTGCCCGTACCCAACG